AGAGGACAGCCTGTGCCTCTGACATTGACAGGGTAGGGGCTCCAGAGCATGACAGAAAGCTGGAAGTTAGGAGAGCTGTTTGGCTTCATAAGGTATATGATTACTCTGCAGGATACAGAGTAACTAAACTAGTCTGGTTTCTAGAAACCAAGAGGGCCTCTCAGGCTTCCATGTGCATCTGAATCATTGGGGGTTTTGTTATATCCCATGTGGATTTGGGAGGTCTAGGGTGGGATTCTGCATCTCTTAACAGTTCTCAGGTGGCGCTGGTGCTGCGGGTCCATGGACCACCCTTTTGAATGACAAGAGCCTGTGAGGTTCCTGAGGCCCGTGGGACTGTTGGAATCAGCCTGTCGTTTCGTATACGCTTCTGATGTTCTTGAAGAGGCTTGAAAGACATTGTTTAAATAGATGAAATATTTTCATTAGTAGCTAGTCTGTAAACAACGTGATTACTATTAACTCTTCGTAGAGAATGTGAAGATGAGAGTACAATTACCTGTAATTGGTAATTCCCACTCGGGTGGACCCACTCGGCATTCAGGGTCTGAGACACAGAGTGGGCGTCTCTAACCAGGTGTTGACTTTGTGGAAATGATGTCGGGCTGAGATCGCACTGCAGTTTTCTTTTAAGAAAATGGAGAGACTTGGGGAGGTCATCTGATCCAGGCTTCAATCTTGAGATCTTAGATGTTTCTCTTTTTGTTTTAAGATTTTATTTACTTACTTACTTACTTACTCACTTATAGAGAGAGGGGAAGGGAGGGAGAAAGAGGGGGAGAGGAACATCAGTGTGAGAGAGAAACATTGATTGGTTGCCTCCTGTATGCGCCCCGATGAGGGGCTGAACCTGAAACCCAGGCATGTGCTCTGACGAGGAATCTAACTGGTGACCCTTCACTTCACGGGATGACGGCCAAATGAGCCACACCAGCCAAGGCTAGGTGTTTCTTAAAAGAATTTTGGCAACCAAGTTTTTGTGAGGAGGGGAGCCCAGGGTACCCCCCGCACCACTGCTACTGCACAGTCAGAAACTGGTGGGGCTGTTTGTCTGGTGTAGCACCTGGTAAGGGCTGTACACGTGTGTTCTGGGGACCCTCCCTCTGCGCATCTTCTGTTTTCTCTCTTCTCACTCTGCTTTGTGTCCTTCATTCCTCTTTCCCCAGTGTAGGGGAGATTCAAGTGGGGTAGGGAAATGTTTGGGAGAAGAGGTGGGGAAAAGAAAGATCTTTTGGACTAAGTCTTTCTTCTCTTTCCTTCTTGCCTTCTAGAATTATTTTTGATGCTCCAAGATTCCCCACCAGCCCTTCCAAGCACTTCCTCTTGGGACCCACTCGGCATTCAGGGTCTGAGACACAGAGTGGGCGTCTCCAGCCAGGTGTCGTCAACTTTGTGGAAACGATGTTGGGTCCCCCAGACCCCTCCCCTCACCCAGCAGCAGCTGGGGTCTGGCTCCCCTCAGAGACACTACAGTTCCCACCCAGACTCAGACACTGACCCAAAGTGCCTTAGCCCCATGTCCCGGGCTTCTGCCACCCACTCAGGAACCCTGCCAACGTCGGACCAACTAACCCACGTGGACATGGAAGGACGAGCAGCTATGGTCGATGTGGGTAGCAAGCCAGACACAGAGAGGGTGGCTGTGGCCTCCGCCATGGTCCTCCTGGGGCCTGTGGCCTTCAAACTCATCCAAGAGAACAAGCTAAAGAAGGGAGATGCCCTGGTGGTGGCCCAGCTGGCTGGAATCCAGGCGGCCAAACTGACCAGCCAGCTGATTCCTCTGTGCCACCATGTGGCCCTGAGCCATGTTCAGGTGCGGCTGGAGCTGGACAGCACATGCCATGCCGTGGTGATCCAGGCATCCTGCCAGGCCCGGGGCCCCACTGGGGTGGAGATGGAGGCCCTGACCTCAGCGGCTGTGGCTGCCCTCACTCTCTACGACATGTGCAAAGCTGTCAGCAGGGACATTGTGTTGGGGGAGATCAAGCTCATTCGCAAGACTGGGGGTCAGCGGGGGGACTTCCATCGGACTTAGAACTCCTGCCTCCTCTTACCCGTGGCCCAGACACGTCAAGAGATAGGATGCAATTTGGGCAGAGGGAAAGGTGTCAAGTTCCTTTAACTCCATCGCCGTTTACCTTCACCAGTAGGAACCCCAGGTCAGCCCGCTCCCTTACTGCTGGATGGCCTGCGAGGCTTCCATTATTCAGAGGAAACCAACAGGCCCTTCAGCCTCTCTGATCATGGGAGGGGTCACAATGAGCAATGCTAGGTAACAGAAAAATCAGTTGTGTTAACTGAACTATTTCAGACAACCAGCTTCAGAGAGTCCCACCCATAACTTCCACTACTCATTTTGGGTTTTCTCTTCTGGTGCTTCCCCCGGGAGAGGATAAGGGCTCACAAAGCGGAGGAACCCACTTTGAGGGGGGAAAGCACAGCTTGCACTAAGAGTGTACAATGACTTCTCTTTGGCAGCTTTGCCTGTCAAGTCTATGGAGCCACAGCCCTGCCTCTCTGCCCTCCACCCTCAGAAATAGACTCTGGGTCCCTTCAAACTTGCAGTCTTTCCATTTAACTACTGCATGTCCTGCCTGCTCCATCGCCTCCGCCCCCTCCTCTAACAGGACACACATGTGGGCTGCAGCCCCGAGGACCTGTGACCAGCCACTCATGCCACTCCTGGCCCTGTGCACTGCTGTTCCACCTACTACCCACCTTTTACTCTGGAACATATCAGGGAAAAAAGAGAGTTGAAGACTGCCTTCACCCTTACAGCGCACAAAATAAAGCCTCAATGCCGACTTTGGAGATGCAAGAAGGAGCACTGTATCTGTGTACAGGGCCCCCAGCTGCTAGGATGTCACGGCCACTCCTAAACTCATCCCAAAGCCCACTCCCTGGGGAAGAGGAGCAGGAGAGCGCCTGGAAAGGCTGGAGGCGCATATCTTCCATATATCCCCGCCTTCCCTGTGGCACAAGGTGGGAGCGGAGTGGGAGGCGTGGAAATGCACCATCTACAGTAAAATGGTCAGGTACGGGTGTCTGAAGCTCAACACTGGTCATTAGAGACCAAAGAGGCAATTAGAGGTCCCTGTGTTTTACACGCCGCCCCCCACCCCATGCACTGGATTTTTTTTGCTGGGCTCTTTAACATGGCCCTTGAGTCTATCCTCAGGGACACCCTCTGCCCTACACCCACGTGTGCTGGGGAATGTTTAACAATCAGCTCTCAGGAAAAGAAAAGGCCAGATTCCCAGGAAGCTGATTTCAAGCTATGGTACCACATGAACTTGTTTGCAAAATTCCAGAAAATGTCACAATTGTGCTCTCAGCTGGCAGGAGCAGGCTTCAACACACCACCAGCTGTACCTGGTCCCCAGCACACCTCAAGCCCCCTCAGAGGAAGAAAGCACAAGTTTCAAGACAGACTAGGGGGATGGTATGGATTTAATATTTTTTAGTATTACAATATATTCTTATAAAAAAGGTGCAGGTACAAAGGACATTGCCGATTTTGTACATTAGCCTCATTTGTCGTCTGAGACAGCTGGTGAGAGCAGCCTTGGCATGAAGGCGTCCCTGGTACAGGTGGGGAGAAGGTCACGGCTCCCGCTGGTGGGAATAGGATGGGGTGGGGAGAGCCTGGACTAGCCCCTTCCCCAGCCACCTGGAGAATTTTCTTCTCCCACTGCTCTACACACACATGACTTCCATCACGGGAGGACGAGTGAGTGCTCTTGCTGAGAGGGGGACAAGTTGCATTAGGTTAACTGGATTTTACATTGGACACAATTAGACAGCAGGAGAAATTCACTCAAAGGTGGCAGGAGGAGTGGGAGGGGCATTGGGGAAAGGCCAAGAAACAAACATAGGCGTAAACATGTTGTGTATCAAGGACTAACTCGGCTGTCTCCACGGGGCACTGGCCCCTTCTTGCCGAGTCAGCCATGATGGTCCATGGTCCAAGGCACTCTTGGAGACCTGGCCACAGTGGTGTCTGGTGCCAGAGCCACTGGCCAGATCTTGAAAATAATAAATAGAGAAGAAAAATCTTTGGGGGTGAGAAGCCAGAGCCCTGGAAGAATGTATGTGTCCTCTGTAAACAGTTACGCCAAACTGCTTTTCTGCGGATCCAATGTGTCTTGAACAGCTTCCATATTCCTGTCTTTCGTGGTGCATACCCAGTCTTCCATGGTGGGTGGGAATGCAAGGATTCGGACACGCCTGTTGGATAGAAGGGGTGCCCTCCCCTGTTCCCTGCCCCTGTGGATTAGGTTGAACCCAGCCAGCTGGGGAAGAGGATGTTCAGAGACCCCACCCACAACCTTCCCATCATCCCAATACCAGCCTCTTGCATCAAGGACTCAGGTGTAGGGATGGGTATAACAGTTCTCTGCTACATATTTTTCCTGGAAGCTTCATCTTGCCCTCACCTGGGCTCCAGGATAGCCTCTTCGCACATGTCCTGGTCAGACTTGCTTTTGCTCAGATCCCTCCCCCTCGAACCAATACACATGCTGGGCTCACCAACTTTGTTTCTTCCCCGAAAGCTACTATAGCCCCACCCCCAGGAATCTGATGTATAGAAAAGACAGGCAGCTGAAGAGTGGGCCCAGCCCACCAGTCTGTCCACTGGCAATAACCCTGAGCCAGAGGAGCAGGTTGGAAGGTGAGGAACATCAAGGGAGGGGCAGAAGGATGGAAGGGCAAGGAGCCTTTGGATGAGGGTTCAGGCAGGTAGACGCAGAGGATGAAAGGTCAACTCTAGGGGGAGAAAATGCTGAAAATAAGAGCTTTGATGGAGTTGACCTCACCTCCCTTCTTTTAGAAGACAGAACATTTTGTTTAGATACAGTCATCAACCTACCCACTCAAGATGGACTGAACGGAAGGTGAGAGTGAACAGGAGGACCAGAATGGGCCCCTTGGAAGTCAGGATGAAGAACCAAAGGTACCAATGACGGCGGCGGGACTACCCCCAGCCACCGCCCCCCAGTCTCTTTCAGGCAGTGTACTTGCCAGGGAAGTCAGCCTTCCCCACCCGGCCCCCCATCCCTCATCTCCCTAGCTTCCCCAGCCTGCTCTGGCCCAGGTCGGAATGCCTCAGGAGGAGACATCCTCTGAGATGGCATGTAAGTGCAGAGGGCAGCGCCGGCCCTTGGGACCCTCTCAGGAACTGACACCCCAGGGCCAGCCTCAGCCAGTTAGACACACATGGTTTGAGGTCTCCTACATGCTGGAGAGAGTGGAGGTCACTGTGGCTTCTGCCCTGAGGCGGATGTCAGAGTTTGGGGACCAAGTAATGTGACGTGGTAGACTAGAAATCTCTGGGGTGGGGCTAGGCATTCAAGCACTGCCCTCTGGTGAGGGGCTGCCAGGACCTCCTAGCCAATGTGTGAGGTCACCATCCTGCCTCAAGACCATGGTCCAGGGAAGATGGGGGAAGAGTTTTGTTCCAGGGTCCCTGTGCCCAAGGCACAAGGTATGGTAATGAGCAGGGTCTTTGTTGAGACTCTTCCTTTACCAGGTACATCCAGTATCTGATAGTGAGCCATAGCTGTGGGAACCCCAAAGTGGGTTTTCTGGGATTCTAGATTAGTAGATAGGATGGAGGTGGCAGTAGGAGAGGAAGGCAGAGAATTAAGATATGCGAGAGAGGCTTAAATGAGTTGTGATGGAGGAAACAGGCACTGCTACTCTGTCCTGATGACTTGGTCCCTGCATCATCCTCCCAGCATCTTTTTTCCTAGAACCTATGTAGCTAGAATACATAATGCCTCTTTCTTTGCCATCAAGAGGAAAGCTGGCTCCCAGATCAATGTTCCACTGAGCTACCTCTTGAGGGATGGGACCCTGGGTTCTCTCCCCCTGGATCTCAGGGCGCCCACCCCACAGACACTCCCTACTGTACGTGGTGTCTGGGCGAGATCCATGGACCTATCCAGTCTAGATATGGAACAGTTTGGTGCCAATGTGTGGGTACCCGTCCTGGGGATGAGGAGCAGGGCCCTCTGCCGAGCCCGCCGAGGATGTCCACATCAGCCTCAGAGAGTGACGCCTGCGGGCCCAGGAGCAGAGAGTAACGGGAAGAGGAGACGAGAGGAGAGGAGCCCCTTCAGGTACGTGTGGGAGACATCTGGTCCTGCCTCACACAGCCCCCACCCCAGGACCCAGCCCAGGGCTCTAAACCAAGCACCACAGGGTTTAAGTATCCCGGCCTCCTCCACTCAGCCGCTCTGGTCCATCCCTGTCTCCTGGCCTCCTTCTGTGGCCAGTGCCCAGGTCAATAATTTAGCCTGTTTATTGCCCGCTCCCGGGTGACTTCCAGGGCCTGGCCCCCCGACCGCTTGCGGCTGCGCTTGAGCTTGCACAAGTCCTTGTCAAAAACCTCCCCGGAGCGCAGAGCTGACACCAGGTCATCGAACTCGCCCCCCTCCTCCAGCGCGCTGCCTGCGTGCACCTTCCGCTGCCGCTGCCACCGCTCCCGCTCCCTCTGCTCCTTCAGCTGCAGGGGTGAGGAGAGAGAGATGGGCTGAGGCCAGAGCAGCCACCCATAATCTCACAAACCAGTGTCCTCCAAGCCAGGGGTTAACTTGACGCTGTGCACCTTGATGCGGGTGTTCGCGAACTGGCCCCACTCTCCTTCTCTCGGATGCCCCGTTCCTGCCCAGCTCACATGCTCCCTCCCCTCAGGCCAGGAAGACCACTCTCCCCCTTGAGCATTGGCATCATCAGCCTCTATAGTGTTTCTCAGGCCCTGCCCTCCTCGCACACGCCCCAACCACTGGGACCTGCCTCTCTCTCTTCAGGCCCTGCCCTCCGCTCACCATGGCTTCCATTCGTGCCCGTCGCTCCTCCTCTTCCTTCCTCCTCCTCATGGCTTCCAGGTCCTGCCGGGCCTCTGAGAAGGCCTGCAGGAAGGTGTCAAAGATGCCAAAGAATTCATCTGGCTGCATCTTGCTGTCCTGCTCCCCAAAGTGCATCAGGGCCTTGGAGAACTGTTGGGGGAAGAAGGGGTGTTGGAGAGTCGCTCCCAAGCACCATGGGCCCAGACCACATGGTTCGCTGGGTGCCAGCCAGAGCAGAGCCCAGTCCAAGAGTGGGAGCCTTCAGCACGACGTCAGGGCTGGAGAAGGGGGAACCTCCATTATCACCAGGGTGGGGGCAAGGCTGAGGGGAATGGTAGAGGCACACCCCTTGGGGACATGGAGATCCAAGCTGGCCAATGAGGATGCCCAGGGCCACTTCTGGGTCTGTTATGGTCTGTGCATGGGATGAGGAGCTATAGACCTTGGGAAGGAACTGCCTAGTGAGAATTCAAAAGGACTTCAGAGATTATATATTTTACTGGACTACTTATTTAACCCTTCTGTACCTCAGTTTTCTCATCTGTAAACTAGGGATAACAGAACCTACTTCATAATGTTGTTGTGGGTATTAAATGAGTTAATAAATGTAAAGTGCCAGCCATAATTATGTGCTGGGCACTCACTGTTCTTTAATGAGAGCTACCATCTCTAAACCACTCTAAAGTCCTCTAAGAAAGACCTCACTACTCAGAGTATGCTCCATGGGCCGGCATGGGTATGCCCTGGGAGCTTATTAGAAATGCTGAACCACAGGCCCCATTCCAGAGGCCTAAGGAGGATGCGCCTTTTAATAAGACTCCCACAGATGAGGTTTATGCTGACGTTAGTGAGAGTAGTAGGAAGACAGCAACTGAGACCAAAGCCAAGATCCGGAGTCAGGATTCTAACCCAGCTCTGAGTGTCACAGCTGGGCAACCTTGGGCTAGTTACTTAACCTCTCTGGATCCCAGTGCACATTTCTGTCAAAAGAGCCAATAACGTTTCAACAAACCCAAAAAGTAAGGTAGTGAGACAAATTAAAACACTTAATGTGGTGCCTGACACCTGATGAACGGACTATGATCTTTTACATCAGAGTTGCTATTGCTTTTCTTGTGGGAGTAAGGAAACAGTTATTCCTCAAAGCTCTGTGATTCTGGGTTTGGCCCTTCTGGGCCATCTGGTAGGAATGGGTGACAGAGCTGTCTACTTAAGGCTGAGTTGGAGAGGAGTGGGGCTGGGTTCGGCTGGGGGTGAGAGGAGGCGTGGGGCACCCTCACCTTGTCCCTGGCCTCATTCAGCTGGTCTTCCAGCTCTGAGAAGCTGAAGCTGGAAACTGTGATGAAGTCACTCATGACTGGGACAAACTTGTCATTTGGTTCCCGTAGCTGGCGTTTTTGATATTCCAGCTCCTGAGGATGGGGAGGGAAGTGCTGGTTAGACAGTGCTAAGATCAAAGTTGGGAATTCTGGGGTCGCCGCACTGCCCACCCTTCTTGTCAATCACAATGACAGCAGTTGACAGCAGAATTAGCATCACCTGGGCAATCTGACGAAGGAGAGACTCTCAGGCCCCACCCCATACCTGTGGAATCTGAATCTGCATTTTAACAAGACCCTCAGGTTATCCATGTGCAGATGCATTTCCAAATCTCCTTGCTGATGCTGCTGGTCCAGGGGCCACACTTCGGGAAGCACTTCATAACCTGGCACTCATCCTCTGCCCCACCCCCATCACAGTGGCAATGAAAGGTGGTTTCTCATATTTAACTTCGTTCTCTAAGCTCATTCTCTCCTTACCAGCCAAACATCCCCTCGCCTCTCCCCCATCCCCCCATACACAGTGAAGAGAGGAAAGGTCCCTAGTTCTTAGGTGTGAGGGGCAAAGGATTGGGGACATCCCCATACTGAGCCAGCCTAGCCCAGCGCCAGAGGTAGTGTCATCTCAGAAGCTATCGGAGCAGGAATGATGGCGACCAGAGACCTAGGTTCCAGCCAAGAGTGCAGCCCCTGCTTCCTCTTCGGGCCCAGGAGGAGGTAAAGAGACATAAGGAAGGAACTCCTGGTTATAGCAGTTTCCAGTGTCACACTGTGCTACCCGCCCCTACCGAGCTCCCAAAAGATGTGGGTCCTCTCTCCCATCTACTGAAATCAAACGTAAGCACGCATCTGATTTACAGTTCATTCCGTTCCACTGCCCAGTAGACATGATGGACAGTGACCCGGTTAGTCTCAATGTCCCTCTTTGAGAGACTATATTTAAACCCCAGACAATCCAGTCATTCTTCCCTGAGAGCTGACTCTGCATTAGAAGCTGTGCCCATTATTCTACCACCCCAGCCAGGAGCTTTGGGCCAGAAACGCATCTGCTGCCTGGAGGCCCACCATCTGACCCAGTGCGCTGACAGCATCCTCTCCCCTCCCCCCCGGGCAGGCAGAGATGTACTCACCACCTCGACCGCCCTGAGGCCCTTCCTGAGGTTGCCCACCTCCTTCTCCAGCTCTGCCAGGCTGTGGGGGGACACAGAAGGAGGGAAAGGAGCTGCAGGTGGTCCAAGGAGGGCAGTGCAAAGCCCAGTGGCCTGGGGGTCAGTGACTTGTGCTCCAGCCCTGCACTGGCCACTAACATGTGGCAAATCACCTCCCCTCCATGTTCTGTCTATGCTTCTATAAAATGGTCGGGGTGAAACATGTTCTATAGATCCTTGGAGATCAGAGATGTCAGGTTGCATATTAGAAGATTTCTAACACTTGGCTTCTGGCCTAGTTTGTTGTTTTTTGGGGTTTTTTTTTTACCACCAAGTTATACTTGTAAGCTCTTAACTTACATGTATTATACTTGCATACAGGAAGCATTTGACCATATTAGCCATTTACCACTGCATTTCTGCTTCTATTGGAGATGCTTCTATCAGTCTATATATGTTCAGGTCTGACTTCTTGTGTGCAGCAGGTGCCTCTGGCACACAATCCACATCTCCATCCCTTGTTGTGGGCAGTCCTCACTTCCAGCTGTGCAGGCACTTTTTCTAGGGGCCAGAGAGTAATGCCCCACTCCCTGAACCCCTCAGCCAGTGACTGACAGGAGATGGTGTATGATGTCCCAGCTCTCACCCCTTGGGTAAATTAAGGAAGGGTGAGTGTCCTATACTGTCTCCCATACTTCCTTAGAGGGGTCAAGTTCCAGTTTCCCACCCCCACTCTTGTTTCCTGGAAGCATCGCTGAAATAGGGATTGGAGAGCACATAGTCTGGCTTTGTTTGGCAGACCCTGAGGCACTGCCTGCTCCTACTCAGCCTGGAGTAGCCCTAATGAGGACATTTAGAAAAGAACTGTGTGAACACAGTAATTAGGAAGCCTCAGAGGAATCCCTCACTTGACTTTGGCGGCTTCTGGAAGATGTTGCAGCTCCGAGGGCATGTTTAGGATGTCAGGGAAATGCTTCTCCAGGATCATGATCAGGTAATGGAGCAGAGAGATGTTTCTGTGGATAAAAGTCAGGTCGAGGGTCAGGGAATGAGGGTCAGCAGGAAACTAGAGTGAGGTGTTGGGGAAAGAGGCCACAGTTGGGTTGGAAGTAGAGGGGAAAGTAAAAAGGAGGGGGAAGAGGCCAGGGGGGTGTGATGGAAGCTAAGGAAGTGGGAAGGGTCCCACCTGTCAATGCTGGACTTGGTGTCAGCGATCTTGTTGAGGCTGGCCACCCGGAACCCATAGGCACCCCCACGCTGCCCTTTGTTCATGAAGTTACCGATGGCCAGGACGACCTCTAGCATCTGCTTTAGACGCTTGCTGCGGATCAGCTCCTGGGACGCCAGCAGGATGGCTGGGAGAGGAAGGACAAGTCAGATGCCTACATAGACTGGGCCAGGGCAGCTGGTCCCCTTGCACCCCAGGACGGTGTGGCACAAAGTCTAGAAAAGGGGCTGCAAGTGTCTTCAGCTCTCAGAGGGGCAGAGGCTATGCCCCCGTCTCCTCAGACCAACCTACTCCACACCTGCCACCTCCAAGGGAAGAAACAAACTCACCAAGAGCCAATCTGCCAAATAACCCATTCTCAGAATGTGCCAACTCTTCCTAAGAACGTATCTGAGAATATCTTTTCTTTTGTATATTTAAAGATTATTAATACAGTCTTTCTATGGATATACATAAGAATATACTTTTACTTTTCTAAACTTTAGTGATTAAAGTTTAAATTTCAGCATTTTAAATATTATGGAACTGTTTCTACCTCTTTTGAAATGCCGAATTTTATTGATTTCTTTTGGAAATATGGAAATTTCTGTCAAATTATAATGTCACCAACTGTAATATTCCCACATTACTTTTGTTGTATAAGATAATGGTGTGCTTCAGAATTGATGGTGTCTTTGAACTGGACATCCTGTTGAATATCATTTAAAAAAATTTTCCAAACTTTAGGTATTTCAGCCACTTTCTCCTCATGTCTTAAATAACACATTTGCTAGAAACACAAATTAAGCTAACAGCAACCAAAACTTCAGGATTTAATTTTAATGGGGATGCTCTGGCCCTTCCTCAACTATTATGTATTTATGACAGATGTGTGGAATCAGGAGACAAATCCTACACTGAAAATCTGGCTATTAGTTATGGAATGTGCCTTTTGATTATTAAATGTGATGATAAGAAGACCAAACTATTCTATAATCTTTGGCTTATGTCAAACTGAACATTCCTTAAGATGCTGCTATGAAGATAAGATGAGAACCATCTGACTAAATGTTTGCAAAAATCTTCAAGACATTGAAAAGTAAATAATTGTTTTTTTAAAAAAATAGCTGTAAAAGCGAGTATTAAGGAAGGTTTGTCAGTGGTTTCTAAAGATGAACATGTGCGTATTCTATAATCTAACAGTAGTGTTACACTCAATGGGTATTTGAGTGGTTCCTAGTTAGTTTTCCCTTAAATTATATACAAATAGACTGGCTAAATAATGTATGGTATATTCATAAGTGGAATAAAATGCAGCACTGAGAATGAATACCCCACTGCTACATGTAACAACAGAGATAACTCACAACCATAATGCTGAGCAAAAGAAACAAGCATAAAATTATTCATACTCTATTCCATTTATATGGAGTTCAGGACAGACAAAACCTCTAGGAAGGAGGGGAGAGTAGTGGCTGGGGGATGATGTTGGAGGGGGAAACCTGAAGAAGGGGGCTCAAAACATTCTTGACCTGGAATCGATGACGTAGGTGAGTTCACTTCACCATAATTTGTCAAGTAAAACCCTTACGATTTGTATACTTTTCCACCTGCATATTTCAATAAAAAGTTTACTTTAAAATAAAACTACTTATAAAAGTTTCCAGCAATTTTTATTGGTTGGGATAGTTTTTCTTTGGTTGACATGCTATTTGAAAAATTTGTGAAGTAATCCTACTGAAAATGCTAAAAATGTTGGCAAAACAGATGACAAAGAGTTCAAAGGAAATCAGTGTAAATGGGAAAACTTACATATGTGGTGCAGACATATCCAAAACATTCACAGGAATAATATAGTCATGAATATATTCATAGGAGTATATTTATATTTGCAACCATACTCATCTTGACTAAATTCCGTGAATGTATTCATAATGAGAATTGGTAAATTCGGTATATTCAAGCAATGAACTTATTCATAATAATATATTCAAGAAAAGTTCATGAATATATTTATAAAAGAATTGGTAAATTTGTCAAATCTGGTGAATTGACTTTTGGCAAATTGACCCAGAGGACCCGCTTGGGGACAGGAGTGTGAGGGGGTGTCAGTAGCTCTTCAACCAGCTGGGACAGGCCACAAATCTTAGCTCACCCAGGAATCTTTCCTTGGAGAACCGAGAAGACTACGAACCCTGATTTCTGCAGGATCCTGTAAGCTCCACCCAGTCAAGCCCACTGACCTGATTCAGTTGCCTCTTCCCAACTCCTGGAGGGAAGAGACCTTCAGACCCTTCTAGAACAGCAGCCATGCTCCAGCAGAGCAGTGATGGCCTTCCCCAGCTGGCTGTGCCATCCAAAACACGTCTTGCTCTGCTTAGCTTGTTATTAAAGGCCAACTCTTCTCTGAGCATGCAGTAACTAACTCTTAGGGAGAGTTTAGAAGTGGGCCCCTGGGAATAGGAAATGATCTGCGAGTATACCTAACTGGTGGCTAAGCTGCTCTGGTTCCACAGCTCCAAGTGGCTATTGCTCACATTTGCTCCGTGGACCCAAGACACACAAGCAGTTGAGCACACCTGTCTTGGGCTGAACCCCTTAGTTGTGCCTCAGGCCCCAAGGACATTCAGCCACAAGACAAAAAAAGCTGTGTAAAGGGAAGGATTCCACCTTGGGCAGGGCTGGGCATGGAGCCAGACCTCGGACCTGCAGAGTCCCCACTCATCTCTTTCCCCGCCCCTCACATCACAGATCCTTCTCCCTCTGAGATCACAGCCAGCCTGCAGTTCCCTTACTGCGTGCGTGTATGAGTGCGTGTGCATGTGTGACAGGATCCAGATCGCAGAAGATGTCTGTGTCTAGCTCTGCCAAGCCTCACCTACCCCTCAGAAACCTCCCTCAAGCAGTTCATTCTCTGAACAGGGCATCCCAGGGAGTGCCAGCCAGTGCTGGTGTCCAGCAGAGGGGGCCCATGCTGTCCCCCAGCCTGTCCCCCTCAGCATCCTGGACACAGGCTCCACTGTTCCTCTCTGCTGGCCCTGTCCTCACCCCAAACGGGCCTCACAGCCTCGCCGGCACCCCCCATCCTGTCTGCACAGCTTCCTATCATCTTGAGCACCTGCCTTTCCCAACTCCTTGCCCTCCACCCTCTGCTACTGTCTGAAAAGTACACCAGGGTGAGAGTGAAGGGATGGATTTTGAAGAACAGTGAGTACTACTCTGACTCCACCAGCAACCAGCAACAAGGCCTCAGGCAACGTATCCTCATTTGAGAGGTGAGAGAACAGGTGTTCTCACAGGGTTGTTATGAGGATCAAGTGAGCCCATCTCCGTGGAGTGTTTCACACAGTGCTTGGCACATGATCCTTATTTAAAAACAATGTGCTCACCTGGAAACGGTCTGTGTAGGAGGGGTTCTCTCACCCAGAAAAGCGGATGCCTCCAGGGATTACCTTGTCAATTTCCTCATTTCTGACTAGCTCACACTTAATGTACCCAGAGGTTAGTACCTTTCCAGCAGGGTGAAGTTTGATGAGATCAACACATGCCAGAAAAAGTTCTAGGTGCTTGCTATTACGGCAGCCCCCCTTATCCATGGGGCATACATCCCATAACCCTTAGTAGATACCTGAAACAGTGATATGCTGAACCCTGGATATACTGTTTTTTTCATGTGTACATACCTATGATAAAGTTTAATTTATAAATTAGGCACAGTAAGAGATTAACAATAACTAATAATACATTAGGACAATTATAGCAATATACTATAATAAAAGTTATGTGAATATGGTCTCTCTCTGTTAACCAAACTAATAACGGAGATGTCTACTAAGTGACTAATGAGCAGGGAGCGTATACAGCATGGATATGCTTGACAAAGGGGTGATTCACATCCCAGGTGGAATGGAGCAGGACAGCATGAGATTTCCTCACACTATGCAGAACAGTGCACAATTTAAATTTATGAATTGTCTATTTCTTCAATCCTGCATTTAATATTTTGGGCCATGGTTGACCATGTGGATAAGGGAGAATTATTGTGTCATCATTTCTTCAGCGTATCTGTCCCATGCTAGGGCAGAGGCCAACAGATCCTCTGCCTTAGAGAGTTTGCATCCTGAGATATACAAAATGTGTCCATGTTTGGCACATGTGCTAATACAAAGTGCATCTACAGTAATGACAGTTTTAAATTTTGTCCTTGATTTTGGTTTCGGGGGGACTTTCCTCTGCCCCTGTTCATGAACTCCCTCTCTGGCCTCCCCAGATGCCTCTCCTCCCCAAGTCTTTCCCCACTCCCTCAGCCATACCTTCCACTTTAGGTTTGGCCTCAGCCAGCCGTTCCTGGAACTTCTTCTTAAAGAAAAGGGCCTGCAGCCGCTGCTGATAGTGGTCAATCCTGTGGACAGGGTGAGCTACGTCATGAGGCACCCCCTCCAGCTCCAGTCCCAGGAGGCAGCTCCACCCCGCGTCCTCCACCTGCCCTCCCCTCCCCTCCCCTGCTGCTGCACCCGACAGCCCAACCTGCTCATTTCATAGAGGAAACGGTCAGCACGGGCCATCCGCTCGATCTCATGCTTGTGCTCCTCGAGGAGGTCAATGTCACTCTTCTCTGGGATGAACTTGAGGAGCTGCAAAGAGCAGTGAAGGTCAGACAGGAAACTGGTGGGGAGCTGACATGGTAGAGTGCACAGGAGCCCACACACAGACGAGGCTCAAGGTGGGGAGGTGCCCCCTTAAAAGACAGAAGCACCCTCATGTGGACTGTTTGCCTTTCAGCTGCCCAAAAGGGATGACAGGTGCCCGGCTCTAGAGTTCTTCCTTCTTTTACTTTTTAAAATAAAGAAATAATTTACATACAGTAAACTATATTATTCTTAAGTAAGTATACAGCCAGTGACTTTCTTCTTTTTAAACCTTCATTGAAGTTTTACTTATATAAAATGCATCTATTTTAAATGTGCAGTTAAATAATTTTTCACAAAACCATATACCACCAACCAGACAAGATACAAAAGAGGTCCATCTCAGAAAGATCCCTTGTGTCACTTTGATCAGCCAACACCTCCCCGCTCTCCTTCCAGTATCACCTCTTGACTGAATTTTATCACCTTAGAGTTGATTAGCCTATTCTTGAGCTTCTTATAAATGGACTCAAGGCATGTGTCTCTTTGGTGTCTGCCTTCTTCTCACTCAATGTCTGAGATTCATCCATGTGGTAGGTTTTGATAGTTTGTTTTTTGTTCATTGATAAATAGCATTCTACTGCAGTAATGTACCACACACAGTCTATTTATTTGCTTTCCTATTGATAGACAGTTGGGGTGCTCACAGTTTGAGTGTCTGAGTGTATATCTAGGAGTGGGACTGCTGGGTAATTGGGTACGTGTACTCATATATGTGGCCTTAGTGTACACTGCCAAGTTATTTTACAAAATAATTGTAGTGAATGAGAATTCCAATTGCCTTACCTCCTAGCCAACACCTGGAATTGTCAGCCTTTTCAATCTTTACTATTCTGGTGGGGTGGATGGTGCTGACTCACATAACTGTGTCTACCATATTTCTCTGATGACTAATAGTACTGAGCCATTTAGAAATTCTTTTTCAGGAAGTACTTGTTCAAGTTTTTTGCTCATTTTTAAGTGAAGTTGTTTTGCATTTTCTCACTGATCTGTAGTGTCCTTTATTCTGAATATGAGATCTTTGATGGATATACATAAGGCAGCTATCTTGTAAAGTTTAGTTTTCTCTTCACTCTAGAAATAATGCCTTTTGATGAAAAGAGTTCGTAATTTTAATGAAGTCCAATTACTGGTGGTTTTGTTTGATGTTTTCTAGGTTTCCCTTGAAGGACAGAGTAAATTAAGGTGGAAGTGACTTGGGGAAGATATAATTACAGGTCACTCTGACTTGGCCTTGAGACCCATGGGACTCCTTTTGGTGCCTCCATCCTCTGGAAAAGATGCAGCCTTTCCTGGCCTCCACTCAGAAAGGTTGGGCCAGGGGAGTTTCTATAAACCTCTCCCCAACTCCTCCAGCTTCTAGCCTGAGTTCTCGGTGATCTCTTAGCCTCTCTGGGGCTGTCTGGAAGGGGCACACTGCCCCCTAGTTTCAGCTGCCCTCCCCTTGAGGGGCCTCACCTGCTCCAGCATGTCCTTGGCGAGGTCCTCCTGCTCGTCCATCTTCAAGATGGCCTGCCGGATCTCCTCGTTAGAAAGCTTCAGCCTAAGGCAAGAGCCCACCCCTGAGCAGCCTGGCCTGGGCTCTCCGCTCAGAACAGACCCCAGACCTTCTCCCCTCTCCCTCATGTGAACATGGGAGTACATTTGAGAGTCCTCCTCCTCAGCTCTTCTACAAAGTCTTCCCACGCTCAGCTAATTTGGTTCACCCCATAAACTCAATGATGAGACATTTTAGCCTCTAAATAAAGACCTCAGTCTCTGGTCTGGTGCCCGAGCCTCCATCAGAACTGAGAGGGAGTAAAAGAGCCATCTTCAGTGTAGCCTGAGAGACAGAGAGAGGAGTTTCTGATATTCCTTCTTCTCCTCATGCCTAAAACATCTGCAGCACTCCCTGGGAGGGTAGGAGAACCAGCAGGCCTCTAAGGGGGCAGCTTCCTGTTTCCTTCGTTCTCAGAAAGCAGAATAGCTTTCAGTCTGTGACAGCGCCCCAGCTCCCACACAGCTGTTCCAATCCATCTTGCTGTCTGAGGAGTGGGGGGGAGCCCTGCCCCTGTCATACGCACGAGTGCGTGTGTACACACACACACACACACACACACACACACACACACACACACACACACACACAAACGCACACCTTTTCTTTCCCCTCCAGATGCACAGCCAATGGGACCCCTGGAGGTGCAGACCTTTCCTCTACCACCAAGGGGGAGAAACTGAGACCCTGGGACCTTGTGCAAGGAAACAGGGTGGTGTCCCAGAGGCAGCCAAGAGCACTAAGAATAGTCTGGGAGGCGGTGCCCTCTGACCCTGGCCCAGGCAGGAGGCCCCGCACAGAAGCTGTGCTGTTAGTGCAGATACTGCCCTGTTTGTTCTGCAGCTGCGGGAAATGCTTGGGGACTGAGATCATGCTGCTCTGTGGCCTAAGCCTTGCGGGGCCCTCTGTGGGCTTAGAGCAACTCCACCACCAGACGCTGACCAGGCTGGTCAGGGGCCTCGAGACTGGGGCAGTTTCCTGTCTGCAGAGCCCCACACTGCTGCTCAACATGGGCTCACAGGGAGAGGATTTGTGCCCCATCCCCTTTTCTAGCGGACAGCAGAGAGGTGAGGCCAGAGACTGCTATCACCTCAGTCCTCAGGCACCTGTCTCCCCCAGGTATTCAAGTCAACCATCTTTTTCCACTAGCCCCATCTCAGTCCTCTGCTTCCTGGGGGCCCATCCCCTACCTCCAGACACATATCATGGCGCAGGGGCCAAAAAGGCAGGGCAAACATAAACATACTTGGAGAGAAGAATGATGCAGTTCTGAGCCCTCCGGCCGTCAATGACTGACAGCTCTTTGACCTTTCGGGAGGCCAGGTAGATGTCCTCAGTGGAGCCCAACTCTTTCTGCAACCAACAAGCCAGTTAGAAAGGTTGAGGCGTGTGTTTTTCCCAATCCTCTACTTGCCCCCTCCCGAACGAGTCACCTCCCTACCAACCAGACCATGCTCCCGGTCTAAGAGTAAGAAAGGGAAAGAAAACAGCAGGAGAGAGAGGAGGGTGGTTAATTACTGACTCTAATAGGAGGCATCTGGGCCTCTACCATGTGATAGAATAAGTTGGGGGGCAATGAGGAACCCCTTGTTTTAGAGATTGCCCTCTCTGGGCAAACTAGGGGAGCTATTTTGATGGAGGTGAGTTACTGATACCTATGGCTTCAGGCAATGGGATATGATCTACACATCCCCAGAGAATCAGCCCCCACTGCCACCACCCCAGCCAGACAGCCTCTCCAAACTTATAAAAAGCTCGTTCTAAGTTCCCACAGGGCCACAGTTCTTGGACTCCTGGAGACTTCAGGCACATCCCCAATGTGTTCAGAGGTAGGGAAACAAAGGTAGAATTTCATATAGAATTCTCTCCTCTGCGGTTTCAGTGGGCATATTTCCAAGAAATCAAAGATTTCCCCTGCCTTCTCTGGAGCCCCTGGTGAGGTAGACAGAGGCCGGCTCTTGCTCTGGGAGCTCCCTCTGAGGACATGCTCCACATTGTGCAACTGCAGGGGCCGCCACTCACATCCTTACCTTGATGAACTATGCCCAGCCTGCGCAGTCTTACTGACTGGCCTGGGGTTGGACCCCTCCCTTGGGTAAGACAATAGACCTGGAAGCTTTCTCCTTACTCCAGTACACATTCACCTGCACTGCTGGCTGGGGTCTGTATGAACTAACCCCCTCCTATACGGCTTTCTCTTTGGGGACCGCCCCCCATCCCCCATGCTGCCCTGTATGAACAGGTAATAAGGTAGAAGGTAGAATGAACAGACCCACGCTTTTGGGCCCAGCAAAGGGCAGCAGCCCAGGATAGCAGTTAAAAGTTGGAGTGTCCAGAGCCCCATGAGTGACTCACCTGTTGGGAAGTATTAGTTATCAGCTCCTAGGCAGGCAGCAGCCACAGCCAACAGAGAATTAAACATGCACAATGTTAGCCAAGAGGTACAGGGACCAGGAACAGGAGAAGAGATACAGGGACCCCTCATCTTCTACTCTGCCTGCTCCATCCCAGTGAGATCCCATGACTGGAGATGGAGACCTATAAGCAGCACCTAACAGGAGCTGCTTCTAGCAGACATGCACTCACAAGCCAAACAAAGCGGAGGACAGGCAGCGTCTCCCACAGACCCTGGGCACAGTGGGACCACCCGCCACTCCCCAGTCAGGGCAGACCAGGCCCCAGGCTCCCTCATCCCAGGCTTCCCCTGCCTCTGCTGGGAATCTGCTCACAGGGCAGAGGGTGCTTCTCCATCCCATGAGTTCAACCTTCTCAACAGGGGAGGAAGCACTGAGGCAGAGGAAAGCAGGTGTCCCTGAATTTTGCCCCTGGCCCACTGGCCCTCATCTGCCTTTGAATCTCTAAGAGGAGCTGCAGAGCAGGTGGAGCTCCCACCCAATTCTCCCTCCCTGACAAGGCTGAAATCACTGAGGCAGGTCCTACCTAGAACAGAGAGGGAAGGCCCAGAGCTGGAAGGACCTCCCTCCGGGCCACCACCATCCAGGTCCCAGGCAGCAAGAGGAGGTGACCGGGGCAGCATGGCCTCTGAGACCTCTCTCCAGCTCTGCTGCTGTGAATTCAGCCCCCAAGTCTGGGCAACCTCTGAGTGACAAGGGCCCAGGTGAGCTTGCTAGACAGGGTGCTGGACAGGGTGCTGGACTGAGTGGGCTCAGAGAGGCAAAGTGGGATGGGGGTTTTCTGTCTTAACTCTCCTCCATTCACCAAACGGGGAGGTCCCAGACCCAACTTGTCCTCAACCCGGAGCCCGTTTCCCCACCGGCTCTCATTTCAGCCCCACCTCAGGATCCCGGAGACTGGGTGGGCCACACCAGAAGTCTGGCCCTGAGGAAGATGCTCATAGTAGATGGAGGCGTGTGATTGGCCACGCCCAATACACCCCTTGCACTCATTTCCTAGAACGGATGCACAGGACTACCGAGCACTCAGAAGGATTTCCTCTAGTGGCCGCCTGTGCCTATGCCCGTGCCTGCCTGACATGGGCAAAGGCTGAAAATGTTTCCTGGAATCCGATGCCTTGAGCACCCACATTTAAATTATATAAACAACCATCTGGTTTTTCTAGGACCCCAAAACAGGGCCAGAGCCCTGCCCCCATCCAACTCCACTGGCTAGTCCCCCAGCAGCAGTGATACCTGCCCTCAGCCCCACTGCCCCCAGGAAGGGTCAGCCTCAGGTCTGGACTTGGCAGAAAGAAGTGGAGAGCCCGGTCACTATCTGCAGCCACTGCCCAGGACCCAGGAGGGCAAAGACCCACTCACTGGCACATGGGAAAGTCCTCAGGGTTGGAACCCTGGGGCCAGCAGAGGAAACATGGAAGAAAATAGCACGACCCCAAGTGGGAACAGCCCTTTGGAGGCAGGCCAGAGAGAAAGCAAGCACTTTAAGGCCTCTGGCTACTAATGCTTGAAACTGGGTGGAAGGCCCCTAGATGTGCCGCTGCAATGCAGATTCCCAGGCCCCAATTCCTTTCCTGACTCACATTCATTTGGGGACGAGGTCCAAGAATCAGCACTTTTGGCAATCCCACAGGTACGTGGCATAGTCTGAGATCCCTGGCGTGCGAATACTTTGTGTTCTGCCACCAACCCCAGTCCTCCTACTGCCACTTACTCGTCAGTCATCTGTACACAGCATCTGCAGAGCAGAGCCCAGGGCCTCAAGGGCCGCCCTGGCTGGCTCCAGCCTCAACCCCCTCACGTGACCTGGAGCATCTCCACCTTCCTTGAAACATTAACACCCTCTGTCACCCGACTCTTGGGGGTGTTGAGAGATGAGAGTATGGTGGAGAAAACGGTTTGACAAGTTAAAATACCTTCTAGGTATAGTCTCTAAGTGCTGAGGCCAAAGAAAAAGCAGGGTCAACAGTGGCCAGGCCCTCAGACTCCACCTCCAGTGGTCCAAGAGGAAAGAGAGAAATGGACAAAATTCTCTTTCATCACTTGATATGTAAATACCAACTGTAATACAATGGGATATCGCCCCTCACTGCACTGCACACCTCTAATTCATATCTATGTTCCCAGTAAGCACATGGTACCTGATAAAGAATCAAATCTTTCCATATATTCAGGATGGAGGGAGGGAGGGGCTGAGGGGTGGGTTCAAGGGGCAAATGTGAAGTCAAGACTAAAAGTCAAGACCCAAGAGGCTAGAGGTAGTAGGGTCTTACCTGGTGCCTCTGATAGGCTGAAAACATTTTTTCAAAGTCCTCTAGGTCCAGAATCCGAAATACCTGCATGTCATCAATCTCACTCCATACGGTGCCAGGGACACGTTCCTAAAATTCAGGGCAGGGAGAAGGCCCATGGTTGGCTCAGTTCCTTCACTGTGGGGATGTCCAGTGCCCCCCTAATACCACTTGTCCCCAAGCTGCACACATTATGACAGCCAGGCTTTTAGGCGGGTTGATTCTTCCTCCTCAAATCTCTATCCCTCCTCAATCCTCTGCTCCAGGGTAGAGGCCAGAGACAACCCCCTTCTTCTCCTTTCTACGTGGGGCCACATGTGTGCTACAGAAATCAGTGGGTGTGATGGAGTGATGGATGGGCAAGCATGAACTCCTTCCAGAAAAGCAACGCCAACCCAGAGCTCTCAGGGCACTCTCGCTGAAGGTCGGGGTTGGCTCAGTCACTGGGAGGAAGTGTGCTCACACATATTTGGGATCCTCAAATCCTTAGTGCAGACGGGATTTCCTGTATCTGAGATGGTCATTTTCTCTCCCTGGATCTTCTTCCCACTTTCCCAGATTGTCAGAAAGTGGCCAAATGCCAAAGGCTGGGACATCCTGGCCCCTCCTTTGATTGTTGAGGCCAGCAAGACTGCCACAATTTCCCATGGGTCAGACTCAGAGAGGCTGTCCTGTCCCTTAAGACTTGCGTGAGCCCAGCAGTTTATATTCCAAGGTCTCTCAATTAAGGCAATGCAAGGGCATCTGTATAGAGCCCTTGCATTGAACCCCCACCCCAGGGGTCTAAGGAGAAGCTGCTAGCCTCTAAGGAGGCTCTGTGAGCCAAGCCAAGAACACTCCAGTGGTCCTGCATCACCCTGATAATGGCTTAGACAGAGACCAGAGCCCCTCCCCTCTCCTCCCAGGAATCCTCACCTCATCTGGAGCTTTGCTGTCTTTTCAGATAGACTCTCCCCACCTCCCTCTAACTGCAGGGCAGCTGGGGAACCTTCCTAACACCTCCTCCTCCTTCCTCCATCTCCCCCTCAGCAAGCTTGGAGAGAGAAACATACTTTTCACTCACTTTTATTTTCTTAAACTCTGGAAAAGGGGAGGCTAGGCCAGAGCAGGGGGTGGGGACATTCCTGTGGCCTTTCTAAGGCCAGGGACCCTCTTATGGAATGCCTGGCTGGGAAGCTCAGAGCGGCAAGGGATACAGGCAACTGGCCAAACCCAATACAGACACATTCTTTTCATGGCAGAAGCAACCACTGTGTGTGTGTGCACGCACGCGCAGAAGCATACGTAGAGTAGGGGAAGGGGTCTGGGGAGAGAAGCCAGGCTCCTGGAAGGGGGTGCAAAGCTGGCAGAGGGGAGACGGCTGGGAGTTGAATTGGGGAAGGTAGGGGAGAGAAACTTCTGTGTCAGTCCCCACCTAAATCAAGGCCTGGGGTGGCGACAGGCACACTGGGAAGGCCCAGAGAGGTGAATGAAGCTTCCCCTTGCTTCTTATTGCTGGTGAGGCCAGGACGAGAAAAAAATGGGCTGGGATGAGACAGTGGAATGTTGAACACTAGCAGAGACAACAGACTGAACATCCAGTCTCTCCTGCACATCTTTCCAAACACTCTCCATTCCCCCTCCTCACCACAAGAACTCTTGGTGGAGGAGTAGCTGATCCTAGAGCCAGAGGTACATGCATGCCTAGTGTTCTCCACATCCTCAGTTTCACCCAGTCATCTTGATGTGCCCACCATGCACACTATTTCACAAATTTATTTTTTACACCACTCTGGCCAAAATCTCATCACCTCCAGGCTAGATTCCTAGAGTTTCTGCCCCCTCCAAAGACATCTTCTATATGCCAGGGAAATCTTTCTCAAAAACACACTTCATTAGGTTTCCTTCATGTGGCATTTGGGGTCAGCAAGACCAAGCTGGCTTGCTCTCCCTCAGCCTTGTCACTCTGTGGGACTGTTGGCAAATGGGGGGTATGGGGGGAAGACCTCTATGTCACACAGGGAAACTGAGTCTTAATGATGCTTACTTACTGAGTTAAAGTGTTGATTAAGTAAAATAACATACTTAAAGCACATATGGTAGTACCACCAACAATAATCTATTATTATTAAGACTTTCTATGTGTCAGCCACTGTTGCAAGTACTTTATATGTATTAAAACCACCATTGACATGGATGTTACAATTAACCCCATTGTACAGATGAAGAACCTGAAGCCCAAATGATGAAATAACCACTAGTTTCACAAATAAGAGCTTGGTGCTGGGATAATAGGTTCACAGATATTACTTGATGCTCCTTCACCCACCCTTGCTAAGAAATGTCTGCAGCTCCCGTAAATGCGTCCGGATGCCCATTTCCCTAAACTTGTACTTTCCAGGCTAGGAACAAAACTCTGGCCTTCTCTGGGTCCCTTCAGAATTCACATAGACTTTACTGGACCCCAGAGAAAATCCTAAGCACTAAACTCTCTATGATAAAAATGTTACGAAAATATCAGTTGACTTTGTCTTCCTTGCTGAGGTGCCTAATCAACGATTCATGACATTTTTAAAATTATCAATTATAAGTTGTAAATATAGGAGACAAAAACTATATCTTTTTTTACCACAATTTTAAAATAGATTCTTTTTTTTAGAAGAAACTTTTTTTAAAAGTTTATTTATTTATTTTTAGACAGAAGGGAAGGGAGAAAAAGGGGGAGAAAAACATCAATGTGTGATTGCCTCTCATGCACCCTCTCCTGGGGACCTGGCCTGCAACCCAGGCATGTGCCCTGACTGGGAATCGAACCAGAGACTCTTTGGTTGGCAGGCTGGTGCTGAATCCACTGAGCCACACCAACCAAGGCTAAAATATATTACTTCTGATCATGAACAATAAACGCTTCCACATAGCCCATGGCCTCTGGTTCTTCAGAGGTGTCTCCCTGCTCACATGCACTTGGCCTCCCTGACTTGCCTTGTGGCCATGGAGAAGCATTCACAGGGCACTGCTGTGTAATGCAGCTGTCACAAACTTTAACAGTGTTGCTTCAAAATGCTGCTAAGAGATTGCTCTATAATTTTAATAATTCAGATTGAAGATGTTATCAGAGGCCCAGGAGTCTATAAATGGGCTGCATTCATGCACTATCTTTCTACCTATATTATAAAAACAGAGGTAAAAGGAACCTTAGAGATCATCTCACAAACAAGCAAACTGAGGTATAGAAAAAATGAGTGATTTCCCAGGCCACACAGTTAGAGCCAAACCTGGTTCGGTTAGAAGTTAGAACCTCTCCTTAAATCCATTCCCAGGATCTAGGTGTTTCTTTGAACACACTTGCTAATTTGCCAAATTCAAAGCTCTTACAGGACAATATTATGTCTCGCTTTTTATTATTATCCATCACAGTCCCCAGCAAAAAGCTTCACACAAAGCAGACTTCAAAGTGACTGTGGCTAGCTGGTCTACCATCAGGAGAAGGCATCTAACAAATAGCAACAACCTATTAGGAATCAAATGTCTCTTCCCAGTTGAATGTCTATTTGAGCTTATGTAAGTTCACCTAGAATGGTACAATTATGAATTCCACAGGAAGCAGTCCAACAGGACCATACAACAAAGTCAGAGCACACCTATAACTTCCAGGTCCAAACACAGCTGTTGTTGAAGTGGGAGTGTGAGTCAGACCAATTGAACTCAGTTACCTAATATGTATGTATCTCAGGGACAGAGTCACTGGCCCTCTTAATAGAACATATTAGTACAGAACCAAAGGCAGGGCTTGACCCAGACTGGAACTGGCCTTCATTTACTAGGGGTCTAATGCAACGTAGGGTATCTCTGCTCTGTGCTCATGAGAGTCCAACAGAGAAATCAACTCCACACATGGACCTAGGATTGGTGATTAGTGGGTACTATTCAGGAGGGCCTCTCTCCAGTGAACCATCTGAAAAAGTAGCTCCTTTCCTCTGAGAAGATGCCAAAATGGCTATAACTTGGCATCAAGTTCTTCATTGCAAGGATGTCCTCACCTGTCATGGCCTGATTTCAGTCTTTTGTACAATTGCCCTGATATTTACCATCTCTAGACCTTGGCCCAAGATCTTTGTCTAGATCTTCTACCCTTTTCCTCAGAGGGACCTTATCCTTAGAATTTCAGCCCAGCCCTTGTCTAGAAAGCTGCCCTTCTTGGCCCATGCTCTGGGATCTGTCATTCCCTTAAACCTCAGCGCACACAGATCCCATCTGCAGGTGACGGCAACGTGAGCATTAGCACATGCCCAGCTATCTCCTCCCAGGGTAGATGTTCCTCCCAGTGGACAGTGAGTGGCCTGGCATCAGCAGCCACATCTTCTGCATTTACTGTGTCTCTGTTTATGCCCCCCAAAGAAAGAACCCAGAGGAGAGATCTGCAAATGATGGGGCTGCCTGCCCCTGGCTGTAGGAGAGTGGATACACTGACCTCTTCCTCTTCACTCACCTCATTCAGTTTGACCCAGTTGAAGGACTTCAGCGGGTGGGAAGGTTGGGGGACACACTTCTTCCTGAGTGGGGCATCACTACTGGGGAAAGGGTCTGGAGGGAGGGGCAGGCCCATACTGAAGCAAGGCGGGGCACCAGGGGGAGTGGGAGGCCCACCAGGTGGAAGGGGTGGTGGCGGTGGGGGGCAGCAGGCGAATGGTAAAGGGGGTGCGGGTGGAGGCAGGTCATTGGTTGTCATTGAGGAAGACAAGGTGAGTGGGCCCCCAGGGGGAGGTGGGGAAGACACAGGTCCTGCCTGTGGGAAGACAGAAAAATCAAAAGAACAAGGCCATCAGCAATAATACCTTTCAGGTTCCCCACTATTACTCTTTTCCTTACTCTTATTCTCCATCTATACTAGACTCTCCAATCCTGCTCTTATCTCCCACATGTATTGAGCTCCCATTTTCTCTTCTGTATCTCAACCATCAAACTCATACACACACAAGCACAGACAAACACACACATAGGTCCAATTCTCATACACAGACACTGAACAAAGTCATAGTCATCACAATGCAACAGCAGGTTGATACATAGAATTGCGGAGGCTACTACCTTCACAAGGGCATCCAGCCGAGGGCAAGGGGAGCCAAAATCCCCCCTGCACTCTGCCTTCAAGGTGTGGTTCCTAGGACAGTGTCACCCAGAGGAAGGAGCATTATTTTTTCTATGTAACACAAAGGTGCCACCCTTACAACTTCAGGGGTCCACTTAAGGCTGGGCTGAGGTGCCCCTTTCTCTTCCCCCTCATCCTGGGGTCCTGAGCCCCTCCCCACACCTGTTCTTCCCACCTTGTTCTGAAGGTCTTGGCTCATCTACATAGAAGGAGAGGAGAGTGCCCACGTACTGAGATTTCACTGAGTTGGGCTACCAGCTCAGCCACTTGTCCCCGAGCCTGGCGTAGCTCCTGGGACTCTCGGGCCAGCTTGTCCTTCATCTTGTTCAGCGTCCGCATCATCTCTTCCTTCTCCAATGTCTTTGTCTCACATTCTCGCTCCTTCCTCTCCAGCTTGCTCACCAGCTCCATGTGTTCTGGAATGGGGTGGGGCAGGAGAGGAAATGGAGAGAGAGAATGTGAGTCTGTGTATGTCCCCCTCCAAAGATGGAGGTGGGTTCAGGGCTGGGCAGGGGAAGGAGTGTGTGGAGTAGGCAGGGGGTTTAGGCAGAGCTCCTTACCTTTCCGGAACTTCTCTGCCTGGTCTCGCCACTGTTTCACCTCATTCTCATTGATGAGCCTGGTGGAAAATAGAGGGTAGTCCTGCTGAACATTGGCTCACTAACCCCTAGAAGACAGGTCATCTTCCCATTCCCCACATTGGTGCCCTGATCTCTGATCTGTCTGATCACATAAAGGAGGACAGGATTTTGACTCTCCAGATGTTTTTCCAGGTCTCTATCCCTGCCCAGGTCTTACTATGTGTCTCTCCATGGGTTGTGAAAGCTTAAAAGGACCCTTAGGTACCTTACAATCTAACCCCTCTGCGAAACAGTTGAAGCTCCTGAGACAAGAGCTGGAGACAACAACTAACTACTGGTAGAGCTAGGCCTAAATCTCAGGCCCCCCTTAGTTGTAATGATTTGTACCCCTTTGTAAAAATAGGTTTTTGCACTGACAGAGATCATTGACCCTACCATGGTGCAGGCTTCCAAAGACCAACGTATATGGGTATGAGAGAGCACCCATTCCAACAACACAGAATGAGTGTGTTGAGAGTGAAGGGGGGATGTATCTAAACCATAGGAAGTCCTTGTTCACATCAAACTCTTGTAACGGGGGTTAAAAGTAAACTTTTACCTACACACCAAAGTATAAGAGAGGTGAAATCCCAATAATCATTTCTTTGCTAAATATGAAAATGTGGGAGAGTTATATCCATGACTCTTAACCTCCTCAACCAGACCGAGGCTATAAAGAGGAGACAGAGTGTGGAGGGGAAAATAATTTGTGCAGAGACTTCTTTGGAGAGAGCCTCTGCCATCGTCTTCCCCAGGGTTACTACTTCCCTCACCACCATCCAGTGAAATGGCTTCTTTGGGCCTCTCAGTGAGTTTTGATCCATGTTCCTGACATTGAGCAGGAAGCGTGGTGGAGTGGGGTATGACTTGGAGGCAGGCAGGCCCAGAGAGTGAAGAAGCATTAAGCAAGCTGGGTGGGACCCGTCAGCACTCCTAGAGTGTGTTGGTATGACGACTGCATGAGGGTTTCTTTGGACCAGATGTAAGCATTGTGGAAGAACTAGGCTGAAGCTACTCTAAGTCCTAAGAAGTCCAACTAGAACAAAAATTGACACTTCAAGAGTGCAAATCTGTGTATTACATTGCCAATGAGTCAGAAGCTGATTGTAGGGATGGCACCAGCCAGCCCTGGTCAGTGTGTCCACTCTCCTACAGCCAAGGGCAGGTAGCCCCATCATTTGCTGAAGGGAAAAAAACACACTTTGCATGATCAGTGAGCAGGGCTTTGTGTGAGAGGCACCCAGCAAGGGGCTTCTGAGGACCCCAGAAATACTTTTAATGACTTTACCCATGTGCCAAGCCCAGAGAGCAGGAAGCCTGTTTACTAAGTTACCTGATCAGGTAAGACCTTTTCCCTTTCTCCTTCCTGACCCCATGCTTCCTCTGGTGGGAGTCAGAAACTGGTTAGCTAGTGGGAAAGGGGTGTAGAAGGGGTTAAAAGAGAAACAAGACTGAGAAAAGAGGCCAACCACCATCTCCCTCCACCCCATCTCTCTCTCTCTCTCTCTCTCTCTCTCTCTCTCTCTCTCACACACACACACACACACACACACACACACTTCCCACTGCAGCTTCCCAATTCCAGTCCAGAAGGAAGAGAGATTTAGGACCCAGTCACATCTAGACTGGTCATGTACACCTGGGACTAGTCCTTCCAGTTGCAGATTTGAGACTATGTTGGCTGCTTAAAGTGATCTTAGGACTTCCATTGCCCAAGAAGCAGAAAAACTTCATTGTACCTGAGAAGTTTTCATCCTCTGACAGAGGAAAAGCTTCTGTACTACATAGTTAAAGAGTGAGTAGAAAATAAAGATGAAGTTACATTTTGATTTTTACTAGTTGTACTTGCCAGTTAGTAAAATTTTGATTTTTACTAGTTGTACTTGCCAGTTAGTAAAATTCCAACATGCCAGTTAGAATTTTAACTATATAAACTAGTTGTACTTGCCAGTTAGTAAAATTTTGATTTTTACTAGTTGTACTTGCCAGTTAGTAAAATTCCAACATGCCAGTTAGAATTTTAACTATATAAACCCTGACTATTCGTGTAAATGAAGACAATGGCTGAATAGTTTAAAAATCATTTTCCGCTTGGCTTTGGAACACAGTACAATCAATCATTTAGAGCCACTTTATCTCCTTCAGGGCAATTGGCTTAGACTTATACTGAAAGATAAGTAAAAGTTTAAAATTACTTAAAACTTAATGTGTTAACATAGCATCTGAATATTAACTGATGTTACTTGAAACTTGGTTCTCTGTCTTTCTCTGGACCCAGGGTCAGTCAAAGATGGTAAGTCAAACCTTAGGCTGTGACACCCTTGTCCAACAGCCTCATGGTTAAATGGTCATGCTCTATATCAGCAGTCAGCAAACTTTCTCTAAAGGGACAGAGTAAGTATTCTAGATTTTATGTACTATGTACAATCTTTGTTGCATAGTCTTGTGTTTGTTTTTAACAATTCTTTTAAAATGTAAAAACTATTCTTAGCTCACAGACCATACACACATAAGTTGGGGAGTTAGCCCACAGAGCATAGGGTATTGATTCCTCCTCTGTGCTGATAAGTTTAAATTCCTCTTCTACCTAATCCATGCAATGGATCACTGAGAGTTGAGGCACCCCCTACGAACCTGTGCTGTCCAATATGGTAGTCGCTAACCACATGCCATATGGCTATTTGATTAAAAAGAAATGCAATTTAAAATTCAGTTCCCCGGCCACACTAGCCACACGTCAGGTGCCCTGCAGCCACATGTGCGCAGTGCAGATATGGGACATTTCCATTATCTCAGAGAGCCCTTTTGGTCCATGTAGCTCAAGGCCCATTTGGAGGTGTCTGGTGTGAGAGAGGGAGCTGAGCTTTCACTGGTGAGACCCCCAAATAGGAGAGAGATGGGAAGGAGCAGGAAGACAGGTGAGGGCTGATCACTGCTCACATGTTGACGATGTTCTTGACGTTGAAGTTCTCCAAAGGAGCCATGTCAGGGTCGACGCCTCTCTCATCCTGGAGGACAATCTGCTGGAGGATGCGGTCCAGGAGCTGCCACTGCTGGAGGTAGCCACCATTTCGCTTGTCTGAGGGACAACAGGCATCACATCTTTACTGAGCCCTGGAGTCCCCTGAAGCCTTGCCCTGGAGTCACTACATGGGCCCAGGCTGGCGAGACATGCCCTGCCCCTCCCTTGGCAAGCTCCCAGTCTGAGCGGGAAGGCAGTGCAGTTGCTGATGATGGAGAAGCACAAAGCCAGTCATATCGTGATTTTCTGTGACTGACCCTCTATGAATGGGTCAACACCCTCGGCATATTTCTCTACTCCCTGAAATGCTTCCTGGCAGCCTCTCTTCCCTGTTGGTACCTGAGCATCCTATGCCCTGGAACACAAATTGCTTTTTACCTTATCTTTGAAGAGCACCTTTAAGAAAGTAAATCTGCTCTAAGATATTGTAGGCTAAGTAATGAAATCTCCAGGGAAATTTTTTTTTAAAGGAGAGGTTTTAGGATTATCTATGCTATTGTTCTACAGAGAAGGAGAAATGGAAACTAAACAGGTATGCACAAAGGGGGAGTCAGACTGGGTTGAAGAAGAGGAAAATCCAGGAAAATTATTTTGGTGAAGGTGACCCTGAACTACGAAGGCAAAGGCATTCTGTGTTGTGCCTGATCTCACAGGGCCCCACTCTCCTCCTCCGTAATCACAGTCTGGCTGGGCTTGGACTTTCTTTTCCCATGATAGCCACAAGCTTCTCTCACTGACTCTTGATCCCCTACACTTCATCTCTACTGACCACCACGGGAGGTCAACCAGCATGATCCTGCCCTTGAAGTTGAACTATTAATGCCTACGAGGTGGAAGGTCACATCTGCAAAGCCCCATTCTGAAGCAGACAGAGAGACCCAGACACACCAAACACAGGGACTCATGGGACCAGAAGTCAGGTTTCCTAGGAGCTTCCTGTGTCTTTCATGAAGACCCTCTGGACAGACTCTTGGAGAAGAACTGAGAGCTTCCTGGTCCCAGCCACTCGGTCTATTTTCTTCCCACCACTCCACGGACACAGGCATTACAAAGTGGCATCATATCTCTATTTACCTTTCACCCAGGGACACAGAGTGAATCCAGGACACTGGCTCACAGTAGAACGTGTTTCATCTAAAGCCTTGACCACAAAGAAACAAAAATTCCTTCATATAGAAAGAGTTGCTCAGCCTCAAGTTCATCCACTGAAAACTGGAGATAATAATGCACACTCCATAAGTCATGTGGAGGTTCAGAGACACTGTGCTAAAGGACCTCACATCACACCTGACCCAAAGTAGGCACACGATAAATTGCATTTGCTGTCGCCATCACCATCATCACAGCCACTAAAGAGAGTCTGTCTAGGTTCACCAAGATTTTCCAAATATTTCTTTTGTAAAGAACTCAAACACCAAATAGTAAAATTTTCAAATTGCATGCTGGCGGGTGGCTATTAGTAATTATGTGTGATTTATGCAGTTACTCTGCATACCTGAACCTTAAGAGCTTGGCATCTGCTCTAATAGATGCTCACATTTTCAAAGAGAAGCAGGGGATGCTCTGACCAGTGTGGCTCAGTTTGTTGGGCACTATAATGCAGGGCAAAGGGTCACTGGTTCAATTCCCTGTTAGGGCACATGGCTGGGTTGCAGGTTCAGCCCCAGGTTGGGGCACGTCTGAGAGGCAACCATTTGATGTTTCTCATGTCAATGTTTTTTCTCTTCCTCTTTTTCCCTCCCATTCTCTCTAAAAATAAATAAATAAAATATTTTAAAAAGAAAGAGAGAGGCAGGGCAAGGGTGTTGGGATAGAAGCCAGCAAGGACTAAATGGAGGAATTAATTAAGAAACAAAAACAAAAAACCTGCTCATTCCACATCTGTGCTACTCCCCAAACACAGAACTTCTTCTTGGAACTCCCCAAGGGGCCTGATCACTCCACCGTCAAGCTGACAGCCAGAGCTGTTTGATTTCACACTGATCAAGCTACTGCTTGTTGGACTGGGATGTTGGCATTGCTCAGGGCCAAGCCCTAACAACTCCGCCAGGTTAATAGTGGAAATCCTGGCCTCAAAGAGGGAGGGAAGAACAGGGGCCTGAGGCCTGATCTGGCCTCCTGAGGGCATGGGCAGAGAGAGACTTGGTGAGATTCACCAACCTAGGAGATTCACCAAGACTAGGAGACTTGGTCAGATTCGCCTTGTCTCAAGCTGCCCTGGGCCAGGGCTCAGGCTGGCTGAGGAAGGAGCAGGTGAGGGCTACTCACAGGGCATCTGCAGGCAGTGGTGCAGGACAGACAGCAGGCAGGGGTAGGCCTCTGTGTGCTTCAGCTTCCTGTGGATCAGCTCAAACATCTGGGAAGCACTCTTTGTGTCGATGTGGACCTGGGGGAGTGCAGGGAGCAGTGACTGGGAAGGGGGAAGGTAGCAGAGGAAAAGAATGGGAGAGAGAAGACCCTTCCTCCATCCACTGAGCCCATTCCCCAGGAATGCCTATCTTCCGCTGCCTCTGACCCAGACTTAAAAGGAGGAGTGAGATGTGTTAATTATATAAACCAGGGTTTCTCAACCTCAGCACTATTGGCACCTCAGACCAGATAATTTTTGTTGTAGAGGGCTAACCTGTGCATTGCAGGGGGTTTGGTAGCATCCCTGGCCTCCATCTATCAGATGCCAGGGGAAGCCTCCTCACAATAGTTGTGACAACTTAAAAATGTCTCAAGACACTGTAAATTACCCCAGGTGGGTATAGTAAATTGTCCCTGGTTGAGAACTACTGATTCAAACCAAAGGAAGGAAGCAGGGACACAGATGATTCAAGAAGCACATAGGTCCACAACCCGGGCTCAAACCCCAGACCTACTCTCTAGTTGTATGACAATGGGCAAACTGCTTGTCCTCTCTAACCTCAGTCTCCATATCTACAAATGCAGGGATTTTGAGAGAAAGTACTGGGATGTTGTTTGGTGACTGAAGCTCCACCCAGAAGTAGGTTTCTATTTGCATAGCGATGTTATAGTTCAATACTAAAGCAGCAGAGTTGTGTGTTTTCTGGGTTACTAAGGCTAAAATGAAAATGTGATTTTGTTTGCTAAGCATGATCTGGTGAGTGACAGGGAGAAGTATTTCAGGAGATTGCTAGAGCGCAGGGGAAAGTAGTCCAGAGAGGCATTTGAGAGTTTCTCGTGTGTAAGAAAGAACTGTCTCTTTCCTTTGGGGGTTGTGACCTGTCGGGTGGGGCAGGGAGAATACCCTACCAGGTAAGGCCTGCCAGGTATGGCCTCCAGAAACAGGACTTCGCCATGGGGGAACCACTAGGAATGCAGCCAACACTACACCCACCACAGCACAGGATCTGAAGAAGTGGCTATGGGGCCACCTGTGACCCACTGCAGTCACCTCACCCAGGCAGGCTCCTCACCATGTCAAACCTCCTGGCTAGCTCCAGGTCATCTTCATTCCGGACCATCTCGAAGAAATCTAAATGCCTAGATAGGATGGGAGTATAGAGAAAGTAGACATCAGCATCAGGATGTCCTTGCCCCTTCAAGCCCCACCAGCTAAACCTGAGAGTTTCATTCAGGTGAGGCCTCTCGAACCTCAGTTTCCATATCTATAAAATCAGAAGGAAGCCAGTTGTCTGCAGGCCAACCCAGGGCTTTCTCAACATTGGGCATTATTAACATTTTGGGTTGGATTATCCCTGGTTATGGGAAGCTAATCTGTCAGTTGCAGGAGGTTCAGCAGCATCTGTGACCTCCACCCACTAGATGCCAGTAGCACCCCCCACCTTGAGTGTGACAACCAAAAATGTCTCCAGCTACTGCCAACCAGCTATTACCAAATGTCTCCAGGGGTGGGGGATGGGTGAGTGGTTAAATCTTGCCCAGTCAAGGACTACTGTGCTACATATCCTTCCCAGTGTTCTCATACTGTCCCCATGGCGGCCCTCAAGGTCAATCTCTCTCACTTTCTACCCTATCCACTCCCCCAATCCACCTCAAAAGGATTCATCCTCTCTCCCTTAAAACCCAGTGTAATAAAATAGCCTGTTCCAATGAGACAGAACCAGAGGAGCTATTGGTAACACCTGGAAACATAAATGTGCCCTTGATCAACAATGGCCTTTATGGCTTATCTTTTGAGTGGCATTTGCGTTGAGCAGCAGCACACTGTAGGACATTTAAATATTCCTGGTCCCTAACAACCAATACTCACAGTGTCCCCACCAGGCAGTTTGAAAACCAAACAACACTCTTCCATGTTTCCAAATGTCCCCTAGGGGGCAGTACTGCCATGGTTGAGGACTACAGGGTCCACCTGTCTATTAGATCAGAGATCAAACAGCAGGTCAGCGAAGAAGACAGTAGGGACACAGATAAGATGTGGGGAAAGAGAGTGGGGGAGGTACACCTCCTTCCCAACACACAGAGCTAATTCTACATTGATGCTGAGTATGGCAGGTGGTCTCTAGTGGGAAGGACAGCCTCCAGGAAGGTCATGATCATTACCCACCAAGGCATTGTCCCCAATGCCGTGGAGATGGGTGGCTTGGGCCTTACTTGTCCAGGATGGCATTCTCATGCTGCCGGAGTTTGTCAATCACAGGCTGTATCCCCAGCATCAGGAACTCATACCGTAGATGGAGGCGGAACTCCAGATTATCCTGCGGGTCAGCAAAGAAGAACTACACTCACTGACTAGTCTCAATTTCCACCAGACTCACCAGTGGACCCTCACTGCCACACTAGTCATTGTCCTACCACATCTTAAGCAGACTCATCCAGAACTGCTTAAGTCCCAGAGTCCCAAGAAAGGATGGGAGGAGACATCTTTTTGATGTTGGTACCTTATTCCCTTTAGGTCTCCTGCCTCATCTCCTTTGCACAGAGCAGTGTTGTTGAGTGATACAGAGCACAAGCTTGGGAATCAGATGATCGTGGTTCAAAGCCCTGCTCTGCCACTTATACTAGTTTTGCGACTTTGGGAAAGCCTTAGTTTCCTCATCTGTAAAATGGGCATGATATTACCTGTAGGAATGATGTTAGTAAAAATGATCTGGTGAGTTATGGTTACCAACTAATCAGAACAGATATCAGCCATAAATAGCTAGTACTGAGAAAGGTGTCAGCATCTTAAGGAAAGATTATCCCCCCAATCTACCTCATATAACTCAGGTCATCAGAATTGGATGCAAAAAAAAAAAAAAAACCCACAAAAACATGCTGGCAGAAAAGAGGGAAAAGCAGAGACTATTACAGTGCCCCTTTTATCCTTCAATAAGCTGACCTTAACTGGGTCATCTGATTACCCTAGACTTTAGGGAGTTCATCTGCTCTTCATATTCTTCTTTAATTGTTGCTATTTTTGTGGTTCGAGGATCCCATTCTGACCCCAAAGGAAAGAAATTAAAAAAAATACACCTCCTAACAGAAGGTAGTAGAAGAGCATGACTGGTCAACTCAGAAACCATTCCAGAAGCAGGCCTTTAGAGAGCTCTGGAAAAAACGGGCAATACTCTTCCACCTCTCGTAAATGACCCCACCACCCTAAGCCATCATCAGCCAGCCAAGATTGGGGTTTGTCCGTGACAACGCATAATGCATGATGCTACCTCCCAGGAAACTCTCATGACAGAGAGGTTAATGGCAAGCTATTCTTTCTTAGCCCCACAGAGGCAAGTGGTGATAAAGTTAATCTGAAGACAATGATGGTAGGGGCAGCCATACCAACCAGATGACTGGCCGTTTCTTTTGCTACCTCCCCCGGAAGCACTCACACACTCTAGCTCAGGTCCAAAAAGTCTGTGCACCACAAGGGCCAGGCAAAGGGGCCTTACCTCTCCAGCACCAGCATTGAGGACAGCGTTGATGAAGGACATGATGGCTGTCTTCAAATTCACTTCGTCCCGGTACCGGCCCAAACTTCGGTCCAGCTCATTCAGCAGTGTCTGGATGGAAAGGCAGGACAGGAAAGGAAAAGGGGGCTCAGGATCCTAAAGGTCCAGCCTCTACACCTTTGCTCCTATCATTCCAACTACCCAGAATGCCCCATCCACTCTTTCCCCCCAGTCTACCCAACTTATCTGGGACCTTCACTACAGCTTCCAATAAGTATTCCTTGTCTCTCCACACCTCTGTCTCAGTCGTGCTGTACTTCCTCTCCACTCAGCCGTTGCAGCTTGGTTTATTTTGTTGGGCAGTGCTGAAATACTGCTTCAGCACCTTTCAGCTTTTCACAGCTCATGCATATGCTGCCCAACTCCTTGATTGCATGTAAACTGCCTTTGATCTCTCTTATACTTTCCGCAAAGGGCCAGGGGTGACTTTTTGCACAGAGTAGGTGCTTGAAAATATTTGATGACAGAATAAACAAATAGCCGATGCTGGTGGGTAAACCACAGAGATTGTAATGACAGTTCACATCAATTGAGACTTACTCTGCACCCAGACACTTTATACTTGTTGTCTACTTCACTGGCACATTTCCAGGGAGCAGGTCAGGGAGAAGGAAAGTGAAATGTTTGGCCTCAGCTCCCAGGACTGTTCCCAGTGTCCCCATAATAGGCACTGGCCCAGCATAGGGCCTAAAATCTTGAGCCCAACAATTGCATTCAACTCAACAATTCTTAACTGAGTTCCTATAATGAGGCAGGTGCTGAGCTCAGAGAGCTAGAGCCATAAAAATGAAGCAAACCAATATTCCAGCCTCAGGGAACTCAATGTTCCAGCAAGAAGTCCATTTTCCCAGCCAAACCCATATCTCTTAAAACCCCTCCTGTGTTTTTATACAAGCCCTCCAAAGGCACCTCACCTGGAAGCGTGTCCGCTCAGCTGCATACACCTGGTAGTGCAGCATGGCCTGCAGCACTTTCTTGTGACCACCGGGCACTAGGCACACGGCACCCAGGATCTCTAGCACAGCCACCTTGGTCTTGCTGTTCTCAGTGCGCAGGCTCTGCGCGATAGTGCTGATGGCCTCAGGCTGTGCCAGCACGTGAGCCCGCCCCTGAGAGTTGTTCATCAGAGCCTTGATGCAGCCGATGAGGGAGGTGTGGATGCGGCTCTCGCAGGTGGCGTGGTCCATGCTCCGAAGGAAATTCAGCAGACAGGTCAAGCCATCCAGCTCAATGAAGCGAGTCACAAACCTGCCCAGGCCACAGTCGTTAGCAGAACAGGCATCCTGCACTTGCATATTATTCTGCGTAACTGTTTGTAAATAGTTATCCGATTACCTGTGTACCATTATGTCCCACTTACAGTAACCACTTGGCTCATTTATAAATTATAAGTGTATCTCTCTAAAGCACTGAAATCCTATCATCCCCAGAGGGGACTCACATCTTATTTGCATTTTAAATACTCTGTATTTGCATGTTATTTACTGTCAATCGCATAGCTATGGTGCTGTGTACATGAAGGCAATGATCATGACAATGATTACAATAATAATTATGGCTGTTAAACCTGAAGATTCATCTCCAGGGAGGATGGAAATTAAGAGAACTAAAGTCAGACAACAAGCAAGACTTCCAGACCATGGGACGGTGAGGGTAGTGCATCCGTCTGTGAGTCAAAGGACTCAGGCTCTAGCGGGGTGTCCCGCCTGTGGCCTGTGGGCTGCATGCAGCCCAGGATGGCTATGAATGCAGCCGAACACAAAATTGTATATTTACTTAAAACCTTTTGTTTTTGTTCATCATTTTTCATTAGTGTTTGTATATTTAATATGTGGTCCAAGATAACTGTTCTTCTTCCAGTGTGGCTCAGAGATGCCAATAGGTTAGATGTCCCTGTGAGGGTATTCTTCAAGGGGTCTTTAAGAAAACAGCAGAGTCATCCTGAATGTTAGCAGAAACACTAAGACCACTTAGTTAAGGGGTTCTTAACCTGAAACCTGTTCTCTTAATGGGTCTATGATTATTATTCAAGGATCCATGAACTTGGATGGAAAAATGAAATGATACAGGCATACCTTGTTTTATTGTACTTTATTATGACTTGCTGAAGGCTCGGATGATGGTTAGCATTTTTTAGCAATACAATATTTGTAAGGTGCATACATTGTTTCTTAAGCACAATGCTAATGCATACTTAATAGACACACAGACACACATAATTCTCATGTGCACTGGGAAACCAAAAAATTAGTTTGACTTGCTGTATTGTGATGTTCACTTTGTTGCAATGGTCTGGAATCAAACCCACAATATCTCTGATATATGCCTGTACTTTTATTTTTGATAACCTTTAACTGAAATTTAGCATTTCCTTCAATGATAAATGGAGGTAATAAATGACAGTGGTATTAGTAGAATCTGTGACTTTGTCACCTGAAGAAATCACAGCGATTTCCATATCAAGTTGTTGCAAGTATCTCAAAATATCATTTACTCTTATCAGCACTTCAAAATTATGGTCGCTAGTTCTTGTTAATTAAGGCACATTCATTGCTATTTCACAAATTTTTAATATTCAGTAACTGTATTTCAATTTAATTGATTTATTTTTTAATTGTATCTAATTTTATCTATTTTACTTTACTACTTAAAAAATTCTGAAAGCAGTCAATAGGTTTCATTTGGCGAGTGCACACACACACACACACACACAAGCTGAGAACCCTAGATTTAGTAGAACAATAAGTAATGATCTGGGGAATGTCGTAAATGAAACTGAGGGAACTGCTACATATAATACATTTGATCCCAAGTGTATTTGTGTGCATTTCTATGTTACACAAATATACCTAGAAAAATAAAATTTACTCTTAAGTTGTTAAAATAGGTATTATTTACATTACAGTATGTTTTTCTATATTCCACTAAATTTCTACCATGACTATGTGTAACTTTTATAATCAGAACAATATCAAGGGAAAGAAAAATTAATTGAAGTGGGAGACAAATCTGGCAACCTCCCCTCAACCCCTTTACTTCCTGATCCCTAATCCTTCCTGCAGCCCATTCCCATGTCGGACCCCCACCCCAGCCTGAGAGACAAGTGCAGATGAGGGGGCCCCATTCTCCTTGAGGCTCTGTTTCCGGGCTCCTGGGGCACAGACCTCAGCCCAGACAACACACACATCGGTGTGCCTGTAAACGTTCAAAGGCTGGCTCTCTGGAGAAAGAAATAAAAAGCCTGATTGTAGTGTTTGCCCATTTCCATGGTACAAACGCTCCCAGCATAGCTGATTTCAAGCCCTCAATGTGACGCCACTGAACACGGAGTTAGGAAGAGATGTATCATGTATGGTATTTCTGCCACGCATACACAACAGGTGTAAACTAAAGAGCATCTACAACAGTGAAGATTATACATAACAGTAAAATGCAGTCGAATCATTCGGTAATTAAGGAATAATAACTTGGGTACTTATTACCTCTGTTTTTGACATAATTCATTTACTCATAAGTGTATATTAAGTTACATTTTAATCACACCTATGTGTAACAACCAGTTTGCACAGCGGCTGAAAATTTAACACGTGGCTCTCACACGCTTGTATCAGCCAGCTCCCACACAGAACCACCTGTGCCTCTCGTCCCCGCTTTGGACGCTGGCCCAACGCGGCCAGCGGAGTGCGGCTTCCCGCTCTTTTCCTTGCCTTTTTACATCGCTCCCACTCCAGGGGTGAAATCTCATCCCCGGACACCACATCTCCCCCTAGTGGCGGGCGTATTTCTCGCCCGCACTCCCGAGAGCCCTTTCTTACAGCCTTGAACGGACAGCCCGCTTCCTTCCCGTTGTGTCCTCCTGAGAAACCCAGGCCCCTGTCCTCAATTTCCCTTTGGATAGCTCTTCCGGACCGGAGGCTTATTCCATTGTCCCTCATCCATCTCCCCTCCTCCCCAACACATCCATCCCCTGGCAGCCTCCAGCTCCTCAGACATGCCGGGTGGGACCTGGCATGAAGTACCTCTAGGGAACGCTGGGCAGCGGAGGTGGCCTAGGGGACCAGGGCAGGAACAGAACACTGCCTGGCGCTCCAAGGAGCTGAGGGGGGCCACTGGGTGAAGCGGGGTGATAAGAAGTAGGGGAAGGAGAAACAGAGGGAGTCACCTCATGGGCTGTGTCCGGAGGGCCGTCTTCAGGTCCTCCACAACTTGGTTCCTCATCTCCGTCTCCTCCTCATTGAACGCATACAGACTCTGCATCTGAGGAAGGCACAGAGGGGCGGGTCACGCAGGCCGCCGTCTCCCCGCCCGTGCACCCGCGCCCCGGCGCGAGGGGCCACCCTGGCCTCTGGAAGGCGGGGCGGCCTGGGGAGTACTTTACTAAGACAGAGCATCAGACTCTGGGAAGACTCGGGTTCCGGCCCGGACTCCACATTCCTCACCGGTAAAACGGGGGGAATTATTGGCCCAGCCTTTATCCTGGGCCTGTGCGATTACAAACGGTGCCACGTTTGAGTGGTTGGGGGACGCTGAAGTGGGAAGGGAGGGAGGACCGTAACACCGTGGGGTCTGATCCGCAGTGAGCGGGCGTGAAGCTCCGGGAAAGGTGCCGCAGGCTCGCTCTCCCGCACAGCCCCTCGCGGCGGGGCCAGGGCGGAGGCCGCAGCCACTCACCGCAGCCATGGAGTTGATGCGGTCAATGTAATAGTCAGGCCAGCTGGTCGCCATCTTGTTGGGATCCTCTTGCTCCTGCAACCAGAAAACGGGGATGGACCAGCCTGCTGACAGGCCCGGGGCCTGAGGGCCTCAGCGCAGTCCCTGGACAGAGTCCTTTCCCAGCCCGGCCTAGACGGGTGGCGTCAAGGAAATGACACAACCTCCCCAGGCCTCCATTTCTTCCTCGGTGAAACATGAATAATAAACATCGACTCTCATGAGCAGTTAATGACATGGGCAGAAACCATGTAGGTATATTATATACACGCTTTCCATGAACAATATGTACAACTAAAAATAAATTTGTTTTTCCCTATTACATGTGTCCTCATTCTATTTAACAAAATACAATTTTATATCTGTTGAATGTAATGAAATTTGTGCTGCTATTTTTATACATCTGTTTTTCAAATTTTGTCTTTCTTATACTATCATTCTCATTGTATTTTACAAAAGTACTTGATTTGTAACAGTTTGGAAATTTAAAAACTTGGTCTTTCTCCCAGGTAGTTTGAAAAGCACTGATATGAAACATTTGGTGCAGTGCCTGGCACAGATTACGTCCTTAATAAATAACTTCACAGAAAGAAGAAAAGAGAAACTCCCAAGACTCAGGGGGGTTCTATGTAGATGGGAGGCACAGCCCCAGATCACAGGGTCTTTGGCCCAACTGTCAGGTCCCAAGATAAAGCCTCAGTTCCTCCCCAAGTGTGGGCAAGAAAGATGGGAGTTGGGTAACCATCAATGTTGACCAAAAATCCAGCCCTCTCCTCCCGCTAACAGATCTGCTTCGGGGCATTACACAGACCCAGCTCATTCCTGTTCTGTCCCATTTATCAATTTATTCTCTTCTGCTCTCTGCCAGTCTCCTACTTCCAGGCTGGCATGAAAACCTACCTCCTCCAGAACCCATCTCCCAGCTGGCCTGGACTTTGCCCTGAACACCTCAGCTCTGTCCTAAGGCTTCAAGATTTGGTTTCATAAAATCCAAATTTTAGACCAGTGAGAAAGCTGCCTTGATTTGGCCTTCGGGACTTCATGTGACAATATGTGTTAAATCTCCATGCCCGAGGCCCCCATATTCTATCTTCTACCTTAGAGAAGGGGGTCACAGAACCAAAAACAAATACATCATCAAACACACACTTCCCTGCCTTTGCTGGCTCATCCTTTGTCCATTCCATGTGCATTTAATGAGCACCTACTACATGTAAATCACTGTACTGAGTCTTGAAAGCACTGAGCAGAAAATCATAATCCCTGCCTTCCATACTGTCAGAGGCATGATGACAAGGCCACTATGGAAGAACTGTCCATATTGGGCCATAGAAACTCTGGGGGGACATCTAACACATAAAGCCCATGAGGAGGGTGAGGCGGTGGCGCGGGCTGACAACTGGGCTGAGTTATTAAGATTACTGAAGTGAAGACAGTTGGAGATGGTGTTTCAGACATTATAAAAAGAATTGGGGGTTTGAAAATGAATGGGGAAATTACACACAACTTAATTTGGAAGGGAGAGAGAGAGGTCCTTATATTTTAATTTTTTTAATTTTATTTTAGCTGTATAAGAGATCAACTTAAAGGAACTCCATAGCAACTCAATTTGGAAAGTGGGAAATCATGATTCATGATTAATTACTTCTGAAATTAATTTCCTCTTTCCTTCCTCCCCTTCTTTCCATGAGTTAAGTTTCTTAAAAGGCCTGCTTTTCTAACAGTGAGATTCCTAGACACAGAAAGTAGTATTCTGCAAGCACTTAACATGTGCATTGAGTACACCAGACAAAGACCTGCAGCGCACGCAGCCCACATATCTTGTCATAGGCAGTCAGACTCCAGCAGGCCAGGCTTCTAGCCATGATGCAGCCACTGCCATAACTGGCTGGTGACTCTGCAGTGAGTCCATAGCCTCTCAGGCTTTTCTTGCCTCATGTGTAGAATAAAGCACTAGACTAGATGGTTTTCCACTTCCATCCAACTCTAAAATGGTGTGTGATGCTAATCCTCCAATTTCATCAAGTCAGTCTCTCTCATTGTGGAGTTCTGGATGGGACAGATATCAGCGCAGGAATAGCTAGGACCTGAGTACCAAACACCTAAACCCTGAAGTCAAAGGAACAAGCTGCAAGTCTGAAAAGTTGCAGAGTGGAGGGGAGGGGAGGAAGGTGGACCAAGAAAAGAAAAACAATGAAAGAAACGGATAGGCTCAAATAGGGGGCAAGAGAGACACAGAAAGAAAGGAATGTGCAATGAGACACAGAGATGGAGAAAGACAGGAAGACAGAAGAAACACAGAGGGGAGGATCTAAAATCCAACTAAGCCCTGATTGAAGCCACACACCCCTTTGTAAGGAGGACCATGATTAGGAGGCTGATGTCACCTTTTAATGAACTAGAGGAGAAGGAGGAAAAAGGATGGGGGAGCAAGGCCTGTTGCAACCTTAGTATGTATGCTGCCCTGTGAGGCTGTACCTGGGTCAGAACAGGTGCTAAAGATGCAGATGCCCCTCCCTCCCAAACTGAGTCCTCACAACAGGCTGCCCAGTGATGGCCCAAGGTGGCACGCCCTCCAGGCGTGGGTCCAGGCACAGAAGGGAGGCCAGGTTTGTCACCTGTGTGCCTCCCCAACCCAACACCACTCCTGGAAGCCAGCAGGCACCTGCTTCAAGGGTTTTTGAAGAACAGAATTCTATTTCTCTGAGTGTAAGTTCTGTGAGAGCAGGGGTTGTTTTTTTGTCCTGATTTATTCACTGTCATTCCCCCAACACCCAGAAGAGTGTGGATGTGTAGTAAATACACCAAAAGCCTCCTTGTGCTGTGGGCCCTGAGACGGCAGCAGAAGGGGTCAGGGATGGCACCTTCTTCTTGCTGCAGTAGATCTGCCATTTCTTCTCAGGGGGCAGCGCAAACACAGCCTCCCGGTTTTTGTCAGTGAGATCCAATTCATCCTGCAAAGACAGAAAGAAAAAATTGAATATTCAGCCCTCCAGGAAATTACAAGTCCCCCCAAAGCTATCCCTCAGCCTACTATCTTCCTCCCAGAGAAGATCAAAGGTATGACAGGACAATTCTTCCTCTGCTAGAAATAGAGCCCATCCCCTCGCTTCAACCCAAGCCTATACTGCTTCTCTCCACACATCTGCACTGCTTTGCTAGCCCTTAATCCTCTTACCCCTGGGTTTCTTGTCTTCCATCCTTGGTCGTTCTTAAACTTGTCAACACCATAACTCAAAACGAGACAAAGAAAGGAGTCATTCTATAGTTCCAGTCCTTGCCCCTGTTCTGAAAGCCTCCCTGACCATCCAGTCTCTCCTCCAGAAATTCTCTGGCTCCGCTAACCTCAGAGTGGGCCCCAGCAAGCCTGGGGGAAGCTGGTGAGGATGAGAGACTGAGCAGCTCTCCTGGCTGGGAAGGCACACCATGCCAAGGGAGTCGCTGACCTGCTTCCCCAGAGAAGTCCCTGCCACGGGCAATCTGCCAGCATGACCCCTGAGACAAGGCAGGGAATGCAGAAGGCCTGGAGCTCTGGCAGTCTCTCTCACTGTGGAGCTCTGGCTATGTTAGGTCATACTTTCTGAGGAGAATGGAGAAGTTTCTGACTTCATCAAACTTAGGGCAGCTCTGTGGGTAGCTTCAAGTAACTCTATAGATTTGGCTGTGCTGCGTGGCCCCTAAAAGGCTCTCTTCTTGAGGATTTTTTGCCTGTGATTCATGAGCAATGCTCAGCCTCATCAAAGAAATGGTTAATGGGCCATGGGAAACACAGTGCACTTCTCAACTCAATTACTGTGAGGTTTTTTAATTCAAAAGCAAAACTCACATTAAGATAATAAAGCACAGTATTTCTAACCTTTTTTATTTTAAAGAATGATAAAGAGTGAAAGTCACATCTAAAGTATAAGGGTCTAAAATATCAATATCTATACTTTTTTTAATCCTTACCTGAGGGCATTTTTTCATTGGTTTTTAGAGAGGGCGGGAAAGAAAGAAACATCAATGCAAGAGTAAAGCATCGATTGATTGCTTCCTGTATGTACCCAGACTGGAGATCGCATGCGCTGGGACCAGGGATCGAACCTCAAACCCAGGTTTGTAGCCCAACTGGGAATCAAACCCACAACCTTTCAGTTATGGGACAGCATTCTAACCAATTGAGCCACACAAGCCAGGGTTTCCCTATACCTTTATTCATGGAAGAACATTTAAGATTTTCCTTCACCTACCTTCACCTAGATCAAAACTGCCCAACAGGAATATAATATGAGCCACATGTATTTTAAAAAATTTCCCTGTCACACTAAAAAAATATGAAATACAATTTTATATTCTATTTAACTCAAACTATCTAAAATATGATTATATCCTTATGTAGTCAATGTCAAAAAATGATCAGCGAGATATTTCACAAGAAGCCTGGTGTATATTTTATCCTTACAACTCATCTCAGTCAGACGAGCCAGATTCCACATGGTCAGCAGCCCCATATGACCAGTGCTGCCACCTTGGACAGCTCAAACAAAGGCGATTTGAAACAATGCCCATCTATTCACCTGCCTTTGGAAACAAAGGCTCCTGCAAATCTAATGCTAAACAAAGGTTCTTCCCCTAGAACCACCCTCAACATATCCCAGGGGTCTCCACAGTCAAAATTCCCAGAGCCCTGCTTGAGGTTCCTTCAGCATTTCTTTTTCCATGGTCAGACTCAAAAATAAAAGAAAAAGTAGAATTATTCACCTTATATTTCCCAGGACCAATTCTGCATCTCTTTTGCTTTGCTTATACAGTTGGTTGCACCCAGGCTGTCCTCCCTGCCCATCCCCATGCTCACTGATAACACTTGAGACCACGCCACCATTCCCCCTACCTTGGACTGCACGAAGGGGATCCTAATGGTCTACCCAGGACCGCTCATCAACAGAGTACCCTGAATGGTCTTTTAGAAAAGTAGATGGGATCAATTCAAAGCTCTGTTTAAAGCCTTCAGTGGCTTTCTGTACCCCTAGAATTAAATCCAAATGCTCAGCTCTGCTCATTTTCATAGTGTCTCCCAAAAGGACCTGCTCTTTTCTATGGGGGACCCTCTGATTGCTCCACACCCCCATTCACATATCTAACTGTAACTCTATTTTCAGATCTCGGTGGAAATGTCAGTTCCAGAGGGACCATCGTGACCCCCATTCCAGAATAAAGCTCCCTGCTAGACACTCCCACAGGCCTCCTGAACATTCCTTTTCCAAACACTCACCACATTTGTCATTGCTGTTTAAGATCAGTGTCCCCTATTAGACTTCTTGGAGGCAGGGACTGTGCCTGTCAGTCCATCATTAAATCCTTGCCCCCACAGAATCTACCACACAGCAGTCTCTCAACAAACATTTTTTAATTTATTTGATCAATAACTGATGATAGTTTCCTTGTAGACAAGACTTCTCTGACTCATCCTTGCTTTTGCCAAAGTACCTTGTTAGGAGCCCTGCTCACTGAAGATGCTCGGTAAATACTTGCTGAATTAAAGGGCCAAAGGAAGTACTACCTCTCATTATGGCCTTCTATCAAAACTCATGCACTCTGTTCAAGAAAACGTGCCTGTGATAATATAAGAAATATGCTGTTGATTCTTTGTTCCCAGTTCCTAGCACAGGGCTCCTAAATCCCTTGGAATTTCCTGGGTGGTAGAGCCTCTTTTCTTCTAGTGAAGCAACTCTTCGTGAGACCCAGATCATTTCCGGATGAAGGCTGGCCACCAGAAAGATCAAGCCTCAGTTAGAGGCCTAGAAATTTCAGCTTCACTTCCCAAACTCCAGAGAGAGAAGAGGGTTGGAGATTGAGCTGAAACTTGATGATGCCCACACGATGAACTCCATAGAGCCCCTAGATGACAAAGCTGCAAGGCCTTCCCAGTTGTTGAACCCAAACCCCACAGGGACAGCAGCTACTGTGTTCGGGGCAAGGGTCTCACTGTCCTCTCCTTTATGGGCATTATCATATGTACCCCTTTACCTGGATGTTCATTGGTATTCTTTATAATATCCTTTATAATAAACTGGCATTAGTAAAAGTGTTTCCCTGAGTTCTGTGAGCCATTCTAATAAATTATTGAACCTGAGGAGGGGACAGTGGAAATCCCCAATTTACATCCAGTTGAACAAACATGTGGGTAGCCTGGGAACCCACTATTTGTGTTTGGTATATAAAGTTGGGGGGCATTCTGGTGGGCCCAACCCTTAAACCATGGGGTCTGTGCTAATTCCAGGTAGTATCAGAAACAAGTTAAATCATAGGACACTCAGTCAGTGTCCACAGAGAATCGGAGGACTGCTTGGTGTGGAAATCCACACAGTTGGTGGCAGCAGTATTTTGAATTAAATACAGATCTCACTAGTGCTGACTAATATCCATCAGTCTCCACGCACCAGTCTACACTAGGAAACACTTTGCTCTTTCCCATCCTCTCCCCAATCCCAAAGAAAAGGTATATATTAGGACAGCAACGAGTTTTCCTAAACCTGGTGTGATGCAGAAGGTGGATATCTTTTTCATATAACCTTCATGGTCTCATCTTACAGTGTCCTGTTTTTGAAGGCTGCATGGCCTAAATCAGATACGTCTGTTATCAAATTCAAGTATGGTATCTCATTCCAAATCACACTGCACTGTTTCCCCACTGGTCAGCCAGCAGCATGAGTGACCAAGGGCTCCCAGTAGATGAGCTAGTGTTTATCGCTCTGCTCTACACCACAGTTTAGGTCTAAGTCCTGGGCACAACTGCTGCCTCCCTGAGCTACGACTCTTCCTGGCAGGCAGGCTGGTCTCACCGTCAGACCTCCAAAGACAGGGGTCGTGCTTCTTTCCTGTTCTGCCTCTTTGTGGTCAGAGGATAAATTCTCACACACAGATGCAGTGTTGCTGTGGTCCAGACGTGTGTCAAAGAGTCAGGGAGAGCTGATGACCGTGTGAATGAAAGAGCTTCTGCCTCCCTAAGGCTAGACATGGGATATGCTGTGCTCAGGACAGGAGCCTTACTGAGTTCTGACCCAGACCCAAGCCAGCTCCAGGTGTGATGTAGGCATCTCCACTTCTATACTTCTAGCCAGTCATCACCCGTTCTGAAGCACCCACTGTCTGCATACAGAATTCCACTCTGTCTCTTCTTCCTAGGCATGAGATAGGAGAATCCCAAGGAAATTCTGGAGAGCCAGAGAATGGTGTCAAGTGTTCTGATGGTCTCTGGGCTCCCACTGCCTCATTTCACGAAAGTGTGGACTTGCTCTTTTCATGGTGGCCTAACTGCTGCCCCATTAGGTCAAGAACCCAAAGGGGACATGAGGTATGCTCATTCTTCTAGGGATACATTTCACAGTAAGTGACTGTTTCTCCCACAAAGCTCAGCCCTGAGCGGGCTTCAGAGGTGAAGATCCCAGCACATGGGCCCCTGCCCTCTGTCTCACTTAACCTGCTCCAGCCATTCCCTTTCTCATTGTCAACACGGTCCCTGCCCCTCACTCACCACCAGCTCTGCAAAGCGGACGTTGAGCTCCTCCGGGTTTGGGATAGGACTGGAGAACTCCATGTACTGCAGGGGGCTGCTGTCCCGGAGGTTGATCTCAGGGAGGTCGCCACCCCCAAAGCAGCACAGGAAGCCCAGGCCATGGCGACTCCTCTTGCGGGGGGCCATGGTCACCACAGGCTGGAAGATAGTCAACAGGCAGGTGCCCTAGGTCCTCATCGTGATCTGGGTAGGAGAACAGAGAGCACAGAGTGGTCAGGCATAGCAGCCAGGTAGGCGTAGACTGTGGTCACCCTGCCACCAAAACTCAGGGGCCCTCAACTCAATTGCCAAGCCCCTTCCTTTTTCCCATAATGTCTCTGCTTTCTCTGGCTCCTTCTACCTGAGGCACTTCTTCTTCATTATACCCTCCCAGTGTGTCCTCACTTAAATACTTTCCGATTGCCCCCTGTTACCCTAGAGAAGAGAGGAGTAGAGATGGAACTCATCTTACCCCGCCGTCAGGTGGAGTCCTATCCCCTACCCTCCGGAAGACCCATTTCCAGCAGGGCTCATCGGCTCGATGCATTCTGGGGTTTAGGGACAACCAGTTTAAAGGTTTCATACAATTGGGAGGGAAGAGTTAGTATTTTTAAGAACTGATTCTTAGCTGTTTCTTCTAGATTTGGGTAATGAACAGAATGATCAGAATGTCTCCATGGTCTTTACTCACATGATTGCTAAAAATGTTGACCACAGTAAGGATATAGACAGACCTAGACGGGGATGCCAAAGAACTAGTCATCAGCTCTCTCGGGGAACAGTCCTCCAACCAGCTCTGAATGCACAAACCCATGCAGTTATTCATCCCTCTGTTCTATAAAGACACCGTAGGAGATTTTCCTAAAGCCTCAAGGAACTCGAGACATGCCTAATCTAAGGCATTTCTTTGAAACAAGCTCTAGAACTTTATCAAGAAAAGATAAGTTAAACATTTCATAATTTGTTCCTACTGAACTCAAGGTAACTTCTGGAGATCCTTGCTTTGTCTCCTAAGCCCCAACCATGTAACTAATAACTTAGTCATCTGATCCAGCCTCTCATATAAATCATGATGCATTTTAATTGTCATTCTAGAGCTTTCTTCCAACTCCTTTTTTTTCTTTCTTTATAGACTTTTTAACAGACCTAGAAGAGCCTAAAATAGCACATGATCCAAGGTTGCCTTGTATCACAGGTCATCATTTATACATTTACTTGTTGGCTCTACACAACTATAATGAAGCCTTCTTGAAGGCAGGGGATATGCCTCTTGCTTCTTTGACACCGCCCCCCCCCCCCCCCAATTTCTATAGCTAATAAAATGCCTTGCACTTAGTGAGTGTTGAGTAAGTATTTCATGGTCAGTTGAAAAACAATCTGCGTTCATGGAAAAGGAAGAGAGAGGTCCTTATCAATCAGTCAAGATATAATGACTGAAATCTCTGATTTCTAGTGGTTGGTAGACCAACAGCAGCAACCTTGTAACTCTAGTGTTGCCTCTCTCTCTTAGGGACCCATCTAAATATCCAAAACTGAAGCCACAGATATTCAGCTTGAAGTCATGTAGCGTCATGGAAGAGAGCAGAAAATTGAGGTCCAAGAAGGGAATGTCTTATCTGAGGCCACACAGGATAGGGACAGAGCTGAGGCAGAATCCCAGGACCCCAGTGCTCAGGCTGTGATCTGGTCACTACCTTACCAGATCAATTGTCCTTCCCACATCAATTGTCCTTTTACCCAATACCCTAGCCCCCTAGTAGCCTCCCTCCACTGGAGAATACTAATCATAACAGCTTAGTTTATAAGTAGTTCCAGTCTCACAGGTCCCCTCTAAACTAGGAGAGGGTTATGAAGATCCCAAAGGCCATCTGATTTGCTTCCACCTGCCACCACCCTAATTTCCTATCCACCCCTGTTCTAACTCCTCCTGCACTTGAGCAGAGTCTTCAAAGTCAGAGGAGCTGGGATTTGACTCCTGTCTAGGTGACCCTGAGCACGTTTCATGAGGCCTTAACTTCTCAGGCCCTCAGGTTTCTCATCTGTGACACCAAGATAATAATCATAGCATCTTTCTCACTGGATTTTGGTGAAATGTAAATGAGGTAAACATAAATAGGATGCCTGGAGTACACTGGGCCCTCGCTGCTGCTGTGGCTTCATTATAATTTTCACAGCAAGGTGAGACTGTCCTGCCCAGAGCCTGCAACCAGGAGCCCTTCTCCAGGCATGGATGGGGCCACCCAGTGGGGCATTGTAGAAACTTACCCACCCAGATTTAAGAAGCTGCCCGGCTTTGCCTCCAGTAACAGGAAGATCTGAACTAGAGGATCTGAACTTTTCCTCAGGCTCTGAGTTACCTCTAGTTGGAAAGGTAAACCCTTATCACTGACCCTGGGCAGGAAGTAGAAAAGATGGAGGTGAACAGAGTGGTTCATGTCTGCAAAATCCCTTTACAAAGGTTCCCATATTAGAAAAGAATTGAGAAGCATTATGGAAAAATGGGAAACAACAGAACAAAATCCAGTGGACTTGAACTTGGACCAGAGGGATTTAACATGCTCCTCATCTGCCACCTACCTTTCTCACCATGGAAACTTCCCCAATACCAACAGTTCCATGCCCTTCCTATTCTGTTTCCTTGCCCCATCCCCTTCTCCTCCCTGTGGGGACAAGGTCTTCCAGGACTCAGTCCCTAAACACAGACTGACCAGCAGCCTAAGACATCAAACCATCTGGTTACCACCAATTAGCCGTAACTGTCACAGAGTCTCCTCCAGCCCTCTGGCTCCTGCCACACTTCCCCTCCCGAATGTCACATCCCTCCACTTTGTGGAGAAAACATACTTCCTCAACTCAGGAGACCAGGGCTAGTCACCAGCCAGCTGTGGGTCAGGGAGTCATGGCGTTATCCTCCCTGGGCCTCAGTTTCCTCTCAGCACAGTGGCAGGGTTCAACTGAAGAATTTCCAGAGCCTGGTCAACTCTGATTTTTCACACTATCTGGCCTGATCGCATTCCCAAAGATTCCCCCAGGGGCCTTCCTCAGCCCGCACTGAGCACTCCTCCCACATTCCGCCCCAAGCCAGGAAGCGCTTCCTATTTCATGAGTTTAGTACTCCCATTTGGTTTGTAAAGATAAAAATCCTAACCCTTACCCCCATGCCCTGGCCCACAGCCCCTCTACACATCAGTTTTTATATTAATTGGGACTTCAAAGCCCCATATCATCAGTGCTCACTCCTAAGTCATAACAAAGAGCCGAATGATATTAACACTGAGGCTTTGGTAGTTGCCAGACACGCAGCTATATCTATATTGCATCCTCATAACAACTCTCTGAGATATGTGGCATCATTTTAAAGAAGTTATTTAAAGAAAAATAAAATCCTGTGGTTTACAGAAGTTAAGTAACTTGCCTAAAGACACATAGCCAGTTATGGCAGAGCTAAGATTCAAACCCGTAACTTTGACACTAAAGCTACAAACTACCAAGTCATAGTGCACAGGTCTAGGGAATGTCCTAATCTGAGACCTACTCAGAGCCTTCTCAAGTGTTCTATAGGTTCTGGCTCAAAATCATTTTAATTGAGCATTTCCTATGAGTTGGGCCAGGTGTTTTCACAGCTCTGCAACCTCATTTCAGCTTCACAATGACCTTGTGAGGTGGTTATTACTATTATCCCTCCCTACAGAGGATGATATTTGGGCTTCAGAAGCTGTTACCTGGCTTATCAACACTACCAGCTGCTAAGAGACAGAGTTAGAACTCACAACTAAATATTCTGACTCCAAGTTCAGTGCTCCTGTCACAGGACCAAAGCTGACTCAGACACCCTCCCTTTAGCTCTTGGGACTTCCGAGTACTCAAATTGCCTTCTCCTATCCCCTCCCCGCCAGCTCCATACCCAGGGGGAACACAGCAGGGATATGCTATTGTGTCTCTTCTTGGTCACTTCCAAAATGCCTCCAAAACGTCACGCACTGTGCTGACAGCTTAGTACTTTATCTGATTTATTCCCTGAAACTCTCCAATAACATGACTACCCCTTCCTACTGATGATGACATTAAAACTCCCAAAGGTCAGGCAACTTGGTCAATGACCACGTCCTATGGGTGAAGGGGACAGATTTTGAGGACAGTGGTGGCACACAAACGCTCATGCTTTTAACTGGTTTCTGGTCTGTGTGCTAGTCACTGCCCTGGGTTGTGATGACTAAGCAAGGCATAGTCCTTCTTCTCAAAGAGGGTCCCTCTAGTGTGGGAGCCAGGGATTCAAGGCAGTCAACAGAGACGAGTTAGAGAGACAGGCTCAGTGGCAGCACTGAGAAAGGGAACCTGGTTTAGCCTAGGGAAGGTGCCCCGGAAAAGATGACATTGATCTAGTCTTGGAGAAGATGAGAGAATTAAGGAAGGGCAGAAAGTGGAAAAAGGCCTTCCAGGCATGGGGAACAGTATAAGCAAAGGCACAGAGCATGGTGCATGTGAAGCCAAACTTCTGACCAGTGGCTTATTATTGGGTTGGCCAAAAAAAACGTCCATTTAGTTTTTTCTCTCTCTAAAATAAAAGGCACATTTTTCATCTTCACCACTAGCTTTATTGATTTGGATATTTTGAGTATGTCGGCTCTCTCCCACTATTGGGATCTAGAGGGTAGAGGCCAAGGGTGCTGCTAAACCAATGTAGAGGACAGCCCACAGCAAAGAATTATTTGGTCAAAATGTCAATAGTACCAGCAAAGTTCGCAAACTACTTTTGACACATTCTATCAGTCACAGCACCTTCTCCATACACTGTACAAATCTTTTTTGTGTTTCAGTTGCATTTTTACCTTTCTCGAAATAATAAAGCATAATAAGTGGAAAATGTTGCACATTTTCTTCCATCTTCAATATTAAAATGACTTCACAAAAGTTCAAAAATTTTGATAAGCTTCTTTTAAATGCATACTGATATGACAGCTGTCACAATGCAATCTAACAAAACTGTTTCAAATAAAGTTAAAGATAACTAAGTACTACTAGAGTCATCAAATAGAAAAAAACTAAAGGAATTTTTTCGCCAACGCACCCATACTTTGTGGCTAAATTAATAGGCAAAGGGAATAGAGGGGATATACGAGTACCTTGGATTGTCAATACAGCTCAGGCATCCTGGGGAGCCTGATTGTTTGCCCTCCTCTCCCCACCGTGTCCCATGGGGCCTA